AAAAACAATGAATTCAAATAATATGGATGAATCAATGGGAAACCACTTCACTATCTTTAAATGTTATGCTTGATAATTTACAGAAAAGGAATCTGTGAAGAGGCATGATAATTTTAGAAAATGTAGGGACAATATATATATATATATATGAACTTGCTGTTGAAAACTGAGCAAACTGAAGAAACACCTGCTACCGACATATAACTAAACTTGAAAAGAATCATCTCAATCATCTGAGAGAATTAAGAACAAACACTAAATCTCGGGCTAATACATCAGCTCATATGACGGTCAACCCTTCAGCATCTCCCTCGTGTGGACTTGTTTGCAAATCCTGTGCAGGATTGTTCTCTCATATGAAACATAAACATAGAAACTGAACTGAAAGACACTCATATGTTGAAAACGACAGGAGTGTCCATCATAATTATTTCACCCTAAGTAAGCCATTAAGACACAAGGGCTTACTGAGCATGAGACACTATTAAGGAACAATAAAAGAACAAGAATTGAGAAGACTGAATATAAGAATTGACATTGCATTTAAATTCTTGAAGATCAAAGTTGACTGAGAAGCAAGAATCCAGAAGAGAGTTCCAGAAGAAAAGTGCAAGAGAAGAAATCGTTAGCATATAACTTATGGTTACAACTACCCATTTCAAATGTAAAATGATGAGACCATGCAGTGAATTCATGTGTGTGTGTGTGTGTGTGTGTGTGCACGTGTGTGTGTGTGTGTGTGTGTGTGTGTGTGTGTGTGTGTGTGTGTGTGTGTGTGCACGTGTGTGTGTGTGTGTGTGTGTGTGTGTGTGGGCAGAAAGCATCCAAACAAGAGTAAAGTACTTGAACAAAACAGAAAAATACCCACTTTGGGCAGTTTATTCATAATTTGAATCCTGATATAGATCTCATTTGGAAATAGACAAATATAAAAATCAAATAGACATATCCGGTCACTTGAATTTGACAAAACTTGTTTTTTTATATATATATATATATATATATATATATATATATATATATATATATATATATAGACACACCCAAAAATACGTATGCACATATCTGTGTCTCCTGGCAATATTTTTTCCTTTAAAAATCTTTATGCAGAAATAATATTTTTGATCTCTTTATATTTAAAATTTCTCTTGAGAACATTCTTTTCTAATGCTATATTAGAGTTGAGGAAATAATTCTTAAGAATCCTTTTATCTAATATTCAATTGACCATCAAAACTTGTAGTGAATTATTTTCTAAGATATTAACTTCTGTAATTTATTGTAATTTTAATTTGGTGTGAATATGCTAATATATGAATAATCTACAAAGAGCACTAAACTACCATGTAATGTCTACCCTTTTATATAACAATAAAAGCTGAACACTTTTGTCATGAAAAAAAAACTTGAGGCAACAGACACAAGGTTCTACTGAAGCTGATGATAAATGAGTAAGGTCTAAGTAGAGTAGGAAGTGTAAAGAAAAAGAAAGACAATCAAAAAGTATTGACACACATAAAGAAGAAAGAAGGCTTTGAGAATTTAAAACTTACAGGGCATATTGAAGCAGAGGAAAACAGTATCGCACTTGATAAGTTTGACTAAATGGATAGAGATACAATTATCATCTAGACAAAAATAAGTCATTAAAGAAAAAGTATTGCTGAAAGCAACAAAAAAACAGGAAGCTATGGAGATCCGTGATTGCCAATGTCCATAGCACAAACAAAATGGATATATTCTTAGGTCACATAGATAATTGCAAATATCAATTCTAAGGTCAGTGTATTTCATTGGGAGCCTTTAAATGTCTAAATAAAAAGTTTTTTAATGCTTGCAGTTACTCACTTTAACTTATATCATCTACTCTATAAAAGAACTTCAATATAATCTAACTTTACAACCTCCCAAGTGATCTAGGAACATTCAGTTAAAAAATGGTTAATTAAATAAGATTTTAAAACAGTAGAAAAAAATTATAAATACTTGGAAAAATATATTCAATGTTTACTCTTGATGGTTCACAACAGCTTCTAATTTATTTTTATTATAATATTTAATTTATTATAATATTTAATTTATTATAATATTTAATTTATTATAATATTTATAATTCTTCTTTCTCATTTTGTGTTTTAAAAACTTATACTATTGTTATTCAAAATTTTCAGTTTCTATTGTAATTTCATGCTTTGTTTTTTTTTGTTTTTGGAAGTTTATATTTTATGACTAAAGTTTATTTTTTCTATATCTGTATTGTAGACTTACTGTTATAGCTTACTAGAAGAAAGATAATGGAATATCTTGGTTTTCTTCACTCTCCAAAGCCTACATTAGGCACTAATACATTTATGATATATTAACAGCTTAACACAATGGAAAGAAGGATGAGAATAGCTCAAAGAAATTAATTTAAAAAATGAATTATGCCTGAAAAGATTTTATATACAACTCTAGAATATACAGATATATCATGCAAAATATAAAAAGGTCTTGTGATATTTTTCAAAGAGACATGGCTAGCCCATATAATCTCTTTAATGTTCCTTATTTGAGCTATATGGTCTACACAGCAATTGACTATCATTGCTCGTGGACTGATGTCACTAACAGGCTGTCACGTGACCCTCGGGAGGTTAGTAAATTCATCATGTAAAAAAGGAGATAATTGCCCTTGGCAACATTGCAAAGGGATTTAAAATTAGTTGTAAAGAACTAAACATAATTGACAAAGAAATAAAGCTTCCACCTTTATGCTCTTACTACTGAGTTAAATTTACAAATATTAAGGTCATTTTTTTTAATGAACATTGTTTTACACCTTCCAGTTTTTTTGATCATCATGTAATAAGAAAGAAAAGGAAGATAGAGGAGGTTATAACATATTTCATGTCAATTTTGAATCTTTTTGCTTCTATCCGCTTACATCTTTAAATAATATCCTGTATTTGTATTAATGACTTTTATTGTAATATCTTATTAAAGTTTTTCAGCTCAAATATTTAATGATGCAAATAGGGGAATTTCCGTGTGTATTTTGTGATTGTGAAACTTGCAAAGAGCTTATTCAAACATTAACTTAAGAATTAAGATTCACTAGAAAATTCAAACAGGAAAACTGTGAAATTTTAACAGATATCATACTTATTATAAAACCCAGGTTGTGTGTATGTGTGTGTGTCTGTACGTTTATATATTGGATCGGATTTCTTACATTTTTCAACCGATTTCAACAAAACTTCACAGGACTACGTAAAATTACCTTGTGGCAGTGCTGACAGCACCAAAAATTGGAAAAACACAATTGTTTTTCCACAAAATCAATTTGAAAACACGATTAAGAGACATCAGGGGGGAATGAAAGGGAGACAACTCATATCGTGTTATATTTATTATAAAACCCAGGTTGTTTGTGTGTGTGTGTGTGTGTGTGTGTGTGTGTGTGTGTGTGTGTGTGTGTGTGTGTTCGTTTATATATGTGATCGGATTTCCTACATTTTTCAACCAATTTCAACAAAACTTCACTTTTTCTTTTGGTAGGTAGTGTTTCTTATTGTCTTGCACACTTTTTTCTTTATTTTTACATTCAGAATGCTTTAAAAATTCCATTTACAAGGCAATTGTTTATAATAAAATTCAATCGGTAGACTCATAGCCATTGAAAACAATGTTTTTGTTTGAGTTTGGGTTTGACCAATTCGTTAACCACCCCCCTCCCCAAAAAGTTTGAGTTTGACCAATTTGTAAAAAAAAAAAAAAAAAAAAAAAAAAAAAAACTAATAAGACATGTGTGTCCGTCAAACTTAAACAATAATCTTTGTCAATTTTATTTTTCAGTCTTTATGATGGTCGATACTTGATCTATTTCTTAACTGTTACATCCCCAGGCAACGCTGGGTTTTACTGCTAGTTTCTAATAATATGATCATTCTGAATTGAAGCAGAAATAATAATTCTGCTGTAGATATCCAGAAAAAAAATGTTTTCTTTTGTTTTAATTTACTGTACTTTTATTTTTAAAATTCATTTAAAAAGTTTTTATTTAGCACAAATTAATTCTTGGAGCAGTTACTCAGACTGTATGTCTTTTAAAATGGATTCTTTAAAGTATATTTTGACAGAAAAGTTTTATTTTCAGCATTTAAATAATTACTACCTTTCATGATTCATTAAAATAATGTAACAGAAATTTGATGCAACAAATTTGAGTTGTTTTTGGTAACACCGAGTGTTGTAGATTTTGCACTTACATTTAATAGGTAGCTTGTAAAGATTTCAGAGGCATGTCAAAAGATGATCAACACACACACACACACACACACACACACACACACACACACACACAATTTTTAAATGAATTTTTGACATCTGGCATTGTATTCTTTTTTTTCTGTCAGGAAAACAACTGCTTTAGACAAAATGTGCCACAGGAAACCATGACAATGGATGCCTAATTGGTAGGGCCCACTTTGGCTAAAGGAGTGGTTTTCCTGATGGAATTCAGATTTGGTTCCTGTTGGAAGGCATATTTTTCATTAGTAAGGACTTCTCACTCTGTAGACCAGTTGATATTAATTTCATTATTTAAAATAACATGGATGTCAACTCAAACATGTATTCCCTCTAAAAATAATATTTATAGTAATAAGAAATATATATATAATAAAAATTAAAATTAAAAAAATAAATATAATTGTTCAAGAATACAATCAATAATTTTGAATATTACAATAATTTAAATGTCCCTAATATTTAATAAACTATAAATAGTTAGAAACATTCACTATATTTATTTAAATGAGATTTTTATACCAATACCTTTCTATAATGGTAAAATTATTCACTATATAATCAAATAATTTCATACTATGCCATGTCATGTTTTTAAAATAGAACAAAATTAATATTTAGTTGATGATATTAATTTACATTTTTATGTAATGTGGTTTAAAGTAGATTTGATATCTGCTAATAAATTAAAAAGATTTATCTTACCTCTGATGAGCAGATTTATCTATCTATCTATCTATCTATCTATCTATCTATCTATCTATCTATCTATCTATCTATAGTTAAATGGATATGAGTTTGTGATCATCAGTATCATGCTTATGAGATCTTCAGACAAAGAGTTTGTCTGAGGATCGCATACATGTGAAACCAATGGTTACAAGCTCATATCCATTTGACTAAATATGTTAGCACATATATAAAATATATATAGAATATATATATATATAAAAGGATGCCCGGTAGAGTAATGGATAGTGACTTGGATTAAGGAATCAAAGAGCTGAGTTCGAATTCCAGTTGATTCCATCATATTCACTTATATGCTAATACCCTTGGGAAACATATGAATTCTCTTCTTCTTTCCCCAGCTATGGGTAAATAGCAGGACAGACTGGGTTCTATAGCCTTGGATGGCAACTGGTCTACCGCAGAAACAAATGGCAACCTACTGTGGGAAAAAAAATGTGCCTTGTCAGTCATGTATTGAAAGATACATGATCGTCTAAACATGTGTCATGCATGGCACATAACTAACTGATATGATATATATATATATATATATATATATATATATATATATATATATATATATATATATATATGTGGGGTGTAAATATCAGGCTCCAGGAAAAACCCATCAAAAGTAAAATCTAAAATAATTTCTTTCCAAACTTTCAGACATAGTAGAAAATAGTTCATGAGGTATCAGAAGATAATTTTCTACCAATCACTTTTAGTTTGAGTAAATTCAAAAACCTTTTAATTTGTAACCCCTAAAAACAGATGAATTTGACTCTTTGCAATTGGTTGTGGTTAGTCAACTCAAAAATACCAGTCAATCTACACAAATCTAAGCCTAATGACTTTCTTCCCCAAAGATATAAGTGAAGCTGCAAGAGATCAAAAGGCTCACTGATAACTGAAGCTACATTCCATTTTCTCTGTCAATACACATGTACATCTTTTTCTACTGTAAAGTCTGAGTAATGAAATTTAGTAAAAAAATATATGAACTTTCTCTGTATCATACACATGTCTATTTCAAACAATGACTGTTTAGTACAAGAAGATAGCTCCACAATATTAAACACTAGCAGTAGAGCCCGGCGCTGCCCGGGGATATAACAGTAAGAGATAGATCAAGTATCCACCATCATAAAGACTGAAAAATAAAATTGACAAAGATTATTGTTTAAGGTTGACGGACACGCATGTCTTAATTTTTTTTTTTTTTTACGAATTGGTCAAACCCAAACTCAAACAAAAAAACATTGTTTTTCAATCGTTATGAGTCTACTGATTGAATAGAATTTTATTATAAACAATTGCCTTGTAAATGGAATTTTTAAAGCATTCTGAATGTAAAAATAAAGAAAAAAGTGTGCAAGACAATAAGAAACACTACATGCCAAAAAAAAAAAGTGAAGTTTTTTGTTGAAATTGGTTGAAAAATGTAGGTAGCCTTTCTGTAATCTTTTAGTTTTACAATTTATGATTTTTACTTATTGAATACAGTAAAAAAAATTGCATATTTTGCTTGTGGTGATTCATAATTAGAATTCTGATTTGAATATATTTTCCACTCGTTGTTTCTAATACAAAAAATATTAACTTTATTTGGGTTTATTAATTATGATCTAACAAATCTTATTCATTTAGTAGCCTTTCTGTCTGTAATAATAATCTTTTACAATTTATGATTTTTACTTATTGAATACAGTAAAAAAATTGGACACATGTGTATTTAAAGTAGTTTCCCGTTCCGGTTATTATTTTTAGTTAGGACTTGTGTATGTTTAGATTTCATTATCTTTCCCTAAAGATAAAGAATTTATCTGATGTTTGTATTCGTACAATCAGTAGAGATCGTTAGATTATTGTTTAAGGTTGACGGACACGCATGTCTTAATTAGTTTTTTTATTTTTTTTATTTTTTATGAATTGGTCAAACTCAAACAAAAACATTGTTTTCAATTGTTATGAGTCTACTGATTGAATAGAATTTTATTATAAATAATTGTCTTGTAAATGGAATTTTTAAAGCATTCTGAATGTTAAAAATAAAGAAAAAAGTGTGCAAGAGAATAAGAAACACTACCTGCCAAAAAAAAAAAAAAAAGGGAAGTTTTGTTTTATAGGTTCCCATATTTAAAGTAACCCACACACACAAACAACCCGATGTGAGTTGTCCCCCTTCCATTTTCACGATGTCTCTTAATCGTGTTTTCAAATTGATTTTGTGCAAAAACAATTATATTTTCCCCATTTTTGGCACTGTTAGAACCACCACAAGGTAATTTTATGTAGTCCTGTGAAGTTTTGTTGAAATCGGTTGAAAAATGTAGGAAATCCGATCCAATATATAAACGTTACAGACACACACACACACACACACACACACACACACAATCTGTGTTTTATAATAAGTAAGATAAGATATACATGCATTTATGTACAAAAAACATTGTTGTAAAAATGTAAATAAATTTTAGTTTTAAATTTTACTATAATTTTTGGAAGTTTATTCACTATATTAATTGTGACTTTCACTAATTTCCAATTTTGCTATTTTTCTAACAGCAAGACACAAAAACTCCTTAGGTATGACTGGTAAGTATAATCATTTTTCTATGATCTATACTCAGTGTAATTTTAATCATTTTAACTCACATAAGGCAATAAAAGCCACTAAGATGCAAGGGGTTACTGAGAGTGAAAAAACAGAGTGGAAAATAGAAAGAACAGGATTTAAGAAGACAGAAGATGATGACCAACATTGCATTTAAATTTTTGAAGATCATAGATGACAAGAAAGCAGGCAGTGAGAAGATAGTTTCATGGGTGAGAAGTGTGAGAGGAGAAACTATTAGCATATAACTTATACCAGATAAAACTAACAATTTCAACAATGAAATTATGAGACCTAACTGCCAAACTAGTGCTGCACTTAAATTTGTGAATTCAAGGTTTTAACAAGTAAAAAAAAAATGATTTTTGACAGCGAGAAAATAGGAGAAGAAAGAATGTCACCTTTCTTATCCCAAATATTGAATAAGGCAAATATGAAAATGTTGTAGAGTAGTTTTCACAGTGGAGGCTTGTATTTCGCTAAGTCGGTCCTAAATTAGGTTCGACATACAAAACGTTAGGAACTTGAAATAACAGTTACTGACGCAGCAATCTAGTTGTGATGGTTGATACTTCAATGTCCGACATCGACTGACTCACTTAACACCACTGAGCCCAACTGGCCACTGCTACTACTACTTATTATCTGTGGGAGAGTCTATTACAATAGAATAGGTATTATGGTATAACAGAAAACAAACGAGACTCAAAACTCTGATGTAAAATTTGAAATAACAAACATTTATAGCATTAACATAAATAACAATATAACAGAATAAAAGTTTTACAAATAAAAATGCAGAAAAAATTCCTTTTGTGCACTTTAAAAGGCAAGATAAGAAATTAAAAAAATGGAAATATAGCTCTCAAAAAAGATATAAATCATACAACAAACTTTCTGTAACTGAAAAATCTTGAGAAGGTACACTACAAAGAGGTTCAAAATATGCAAACTTTTAACAATTGAAAGATGTTTAGAGAACATACAATACAATTCCTTAAAAAAAAAAGTTTCAAAATACACTTTAAAAAAGTTTCAAAATACACATTCTTTAAAAAAAAAAGGTGCACTTAATAATGGAAAGTTGAAACAAAGAAGTCACTCTTTTGATTAGTCAAAAAATGCAAAGGTGTATATCTTTACAAAATTTGAAAATTAAATCACAGACTGTCCACCATTGACTGACTTATTTTTGGTGGCTCTTTTTCGAGTCATTGTATTTTTAGAAAATGAACAAATGTTTCACATCAAATTAGTTTTTATTCACTGTCTAGCTTTTTTTTTTTTAACTTTTTAAAAATAGTTTTCTTAAAAGCAAGTGTAATAAACATACCTAGACTGTTATAATATTTATTTTTTCATCTACACATTTTTATTAATAACACAAGGAACTGGTGGCATCTTTACAATAGTCCTTAAGAAATGTGCTTTTGAACTGACCCCTGTTCTCTTTAAATTCTGCAATAAATGCCTGGCTGCTTCTTGCTTTCTGGCTTGGTGGAAATCCTTTTCTGTAGTTCCAGTCTTTAAGAAATCAGGTGTAACTGTCTGATCATTCTAATTATTGGCCTATTAGCCTTCTACCTCTTTCTGGCAAAGTACCAGAAACTCTAATCAACTCTGAATTTGTCAAACATCTCACACTGCAAGGTCTTCTTTCAGATAAGCAATGTGGCTTTCACATCTCTAGGTGAACTGCTGATGTATTCATGATTATTGCTAAAAGAGTCTATCAAGCTTTAGATAAGAATGGTGAAGCTAGGTTTTTTTTGCATGTTGATCTTCACAAGTTGGTATTTCTGGATGAATTTTGGAACTGGTTCAGTTTTTCTTATCAATTCATGAAATGAAAGTTGTCTTGAATGGTCACTCTTTTAGATCTTTTTGTATTAATGCAGGTGTCCCCCAGGGCTCTATCTTTGGACTACGTTATTACTAATTTTCATAAATAATCTTCCTCATGTCATCAACTCAGTATATATGCATATGACACAACTATTTACTCCTGTCTTAATAGTAAATCTGATCAGTTTGATAAGATCAAATTGACAGCTGATCTAAAAAATAATCTACAATCTGCTATTAACTGGAGTAAGGAATTATTTGTATATTTTAATGTCTCCAAAACAAAACTGCTTTCTATCAATCATCTGGGAGATCCCTTTCTGTCTTCCATTAGTATGGCTGATGCTAACCTCCAGGTGAGTGACTTCTTGTGCTTTCTTGTACTAACATTTTCTGAAGGGGAAAGATTATATTGCATCAATTGCTAGGTCTGCTGCTAGGAAAGTAGATTCACTTTGTCGTAATAGACAATTTTTCTCTCCTGAATCTATCTTATATATTTATAAGTCTACCATTTGATTGGCATTTTGAATATTGCTTTCACATATGGTCTGGTGCTCCTGCTACATATTTAGAGATTCTTGATAAACTACAAAGAAGGATCTGCAATATTATTGGTCTTGATCGCACATCTCGGTTTCACTCATTTACCACTGCCATAATGTAGCTTCTTTGTGACTTTTCTATAAATACTTTCATAATAATTTTTTTTGTTCTAATGAACTTTCCTCTATGGTACTTAGGCGTTATGAATTTTAGTGCAGTACTAGATTGGTGGCAAGGTTCATCATTTTACAGTTACAATGGAAATTATTAGACGTAACAATAAGTTTTATGCTAAGAGTTCTATTATATTTTCTGCTTGTGGAAATCTTTTCTGGCTTCTTGCTTCCCAGTCAAATTTGATCTTCAAAAATTTAAATGCAATGTCATTATCTTTTTAATTATTGTTCTCTCTCCTTAATAGTATTTTTTCTCATATTCTCTAACACTCCGTAACACCTTGCATCTCAGTGTCTTTATTGCGTTGCCTAGGGTGAAATGATTAAAAAAAAAAAAATTTTATATTATCCCCTCAAGAGAAAGAGCAATAAACAAATTTAGTGCATCGTATTTTTTAAATTATTTTATTTTTACTTTTTAATTATTTTATATTTCTATTAAATTATTTTTTATAAAAGCTTATCAGAACAGTTGCTATGAAAATATTTATAGAAAAGACACAGGGAAGCTATGTTATGGTGCTGGAAAAGTGACTGGAGCCAAGATGTCAGATCAGGACTGATAAAATTGGAGATTCTTCTATGGATTTTGTCAAAAATCTTTAGATACTTAGTAGAAGCTAGTGATGTTCCATCATCACTAAGCAGACTCAGAACTTTCATGATTAAGGAGGCCTTGTGCCTTGAGTGCCTATTAGACTCATCTCAGACTTCAAGTGGAACTTGTACATATGATCCATTTCCATTGTTAAAGATGCTAGAAAAATATTCAGTTCCTTGTACCGCTCCAGTACTTACTGGAGCGGTACAGGGAACTGAATATTTTTCTAGCATCTTTAACAATGGATCATATGTACAAGTATGCTATCCTCTACCTTTACAAAGAGATAGATCAGGCCAAAAATGGAATACTACTGATATATATGAGGAAGGGCTGCCCAATTTTCGCTTCACATGCTTGATAGAGTCCAAAAGTGTGTCTGCATCCTTGTGGGTGGCAAATTATTTTCTACCCTACTAGCCTTTTCACACAGATGAAATGTTGCAACTTATTCACCGCTCTGTCACTATTTCCATAGAAAATGTTCATATATTTTATGTTCCACCAGTTCTAATCTTCATGGCTAAGAACCACCATATCATGCACATTGTAGCAAACAATCCTCATTCCCTTCATATTCCATTGGTTAGATGTAAGTTCTACTGATTTGCTTCTCACAAATCTACTTCATTGTGGAACTAATTCCCATGAGGATGCTCAACCTGTTCAAGTTTAGGGTTATCTTCCCCACAAACTGTATTTCTTACTTTGTAACCTTCTATCTCTAGTAGCTCTTGGGGCTTGTACAGGGTGAACATCATTGCAACAAAAAAAAGTAGCACCAGTTTTATATTATTTATAATGTATTTGAAGAAATGTGCATGTGTATTCAAATACATGTGATAAGTTTTTTTAAAGTGAAAACTTCACTTTCCACTTTTATAATTTAATTAGCTTAAAAGCTGCCCTATTGGGTGGCATTTAAGCTAGCTCCTGCAGAGAGCACTTGATTGTGCCTTCATCACAATAGGTAGGGAGGAGTAGGTAACTATAAACTATAGAAGAACTCAAAATTGATTGGATTAATATTTAAGCTTACCTTTTAAAAGTTCAATGATAATTCTTCTGCCGCCACTTAATTTAAAGACAATTTGATGTATCTAGGTTCTTACTTTCTGTACAAACAATTATTTTTATTTCATGGTTGACATTTGCTGGATTTCATAATTAATTTTGATTATTCCCAAATTCATTTCTAAGTTATAAAAATTGTTATTGTACAAAAACATTTATCACAAAAATCACATAAGAAACAATCTCAGTAATGAAAAGTTGGGAATCCAAAATTTCAGTATTGCAGGTCCGGAACTGGTCCAGAATGTTTTTATCTGCTCATGGAGTCGACCTGATTCCAAAATTGTATGATTTTTTGCGCTACGGCCTCTAGGAGTAAAGTTGAAAAGTGTGACACACTGACATTTGCATTTATTATATAGATAACTTAATCATATTATTCATAACTTTTATAGGAAAAGATAAACGTGATAAAGAAAAATTAATGTATTGTAATCTGTACATAAAGGAAAGTGCTTGCATTTACTTTATGTACAATGACATATAATGTATGTGAATTTATTTTTGTGTATAAATGAAGATTAATCTAATACACCTGGATATAAAAACAATCTATCATTAATAAACAGGAGTAATGAGTAATTACTCTTATATTTCGTTGTTTATTTACATCACCATCAGAAAATTAAAAGAAGTGACTTTTCCCATTATGAATTTGAGGGGATGGTCTGTGTGTGTTATTTTTTTTTTTTTTTTTTTTACTCTGGTTTATATTGTCATGCATATCTGTATCTCTTCATAAACACACACATTATATACCCAAAGATAGATATGGTACGACTGACAAAGAGGCGTAGTACACATGTTTGTTTGTTTGTGTACTATGTAACAATAAGGATAACTTAAGTTCAAAATAATAAAATCTCCCTAAATGCGGTGAAAGTCGAGAGAAAAAGAAAAGGTAGCGGAGGGGAGCATATAAATTAGTGGGGGGAATTAAAAAAAAAAAAATGGGAGTCGCGCATCTGGTCACGTGAGCAAGAGGAGCGGGCCGAGGACGTCACGTGACCCATATCTATAAATATCAGTCGTCTTTGTTGCCGTGCCAAACCAAAAGTCTGACGGGGGCGGTAAGTCAGTATTTAGAAGCGGAGAAGAAAAAAAAAATAGAAAACAAAAAAAAACAAACTAAAAACAAAAAAAAAAAACACAAAAAACCCCAAAAAAACAGTTTTTCTTGTTTCGAGGTGGCATTTCTTATCTTCCCAACACTTAGAGTAATATGCCTAATGTTTCCAACCAAAATGGAAAGGGTCTAGAACAGCAGGTAAGTAAAAGATCACTTTTAAAATCAATGCTTTTTATTTATTTTGTTTTTAAAAGTGGTTTTCAGTAATTATTATCGCTCTTCAATGTTAGCTAGTGGTGGCAGTAGCAAAAAGCTTTTTCTTTCTCTATATTTTTTTTAAATGCGATACTATATATAAATAAGAATTATGTTTGTTTTATTATTCACGACGGTTTGGTTATCTCTTAGATATATTATTTAATGTTTATTATAAATCTTTGATTGTGTAAAGCGTATAATTTAAGAAAATCCTTTCGTGTGTACTAGTCCCAACTACTAGGGCATGAAAAATTCAGCCATGCTCCTCTTACACTTTTGAAAACTCGCTACTCTGATAAAAAAAAAGTCTAAATCCGTGTACATCTTGATATAATTATTTTTAATACTAAAGATTATACTTTTTTGGCGAGTAGGAAAGAAAAAGATAAAAATCAACTAAACAATCGGTATACTAATAATTATCACAAAACAATTTATTTCTACTATTTATCCATCATTGTATATAATAATTAATAAATATCGCGTATAATGAAAGTATGCTTACGGGAAGGCGTTAATGTGTACAAATAAGTATAAAAAACAAATGGTCCAACACGGTAAAAAATAAAAATAATTTAATTTGAGCCATAATGTGAAAGACTTAATTAATTATTATAAAGAATTAAACTTGGATATAATTAGGTAAAGGGGATGTAAGTACAGATGTAATATTGAGTACTGAAGAAAATAGTGAAAAAAAGAGTGAAGGTGGAACTCTTCAGTCATCGAACTCCTTGAATTCTGGTTATTATTATATAATTTAAAAATAATTTAATAATTTGAGAGTTCATTAAACAACAACTTAATCTTAATGTCGGATGATCGTTTAAAATAAGTATATATATATATATATATATATATTTTGATGCTGTGCTTTTTGGTCGGTGTGCGTAGTGTCTATCTGTCTGGCCATTTTGCTCCTTGCAGGTTATGACTTGTTTCCGAAGATGGCGATCGTCTACATTGTAGACGATGGCCCGTTTGCCATTCAAAAATCTATTTTGTTTGATCTGAGCTTCACATAATATTCTTTTTAGGTTTGACTTGACTTATTTATCACAATCTTTAATCTTGGGAAAGTCCCCTTTTTGTTACAATAAAAAAATAAAATAAAGTACACTTTAAAACCCCCCCTCTATTTTCTTAGCTTTTTATGCACGTGTTTGAGATGAGGCAAGAAATTGTTGAAAAGGCGTTTTTTTTTTTTGTTTTTTTTTTTTAAATTACAGAAATATAAAATAAAATCTTAATTTATCTGAAGGTAGTTTAAGTGTCAAGGTCGTTTATTCCTCCCGTAGAATATTTAGTAATATTGTGTACAGTGTACTTCTGTTTTTGTATTGTTTATGTGAGATTTTTAACTACTAGTGATTTTTGAGTCCTCATGTGAGATTTTTTTTAATCATTTCATACTGATCCTCTTTAAAGTAAATTTAAGGTTTGTCTAAACTTTTAATACAATTGGTTTTATTAAAATTTAAAAACTCCGTTCTAATTTCGAAGAAATATAGCTGATATATTTTTTTTTTTTTTTGAAAGGTGTAAAAACGATTAGTAGTAAGATTATTAAGGATTAAAAAAAAAAAGGAAAAAAAGCATCCAAAAATATTATTTTGGATCACAATTTACATGGCTTAAAGTTTGTATTGGATCTTTTTCCGTTCATTCTTTTTCTCTAGCGCTCGTTTTTTTTTCTTTTTTTTGGGCAGATTATTTTCATTTTGGAAAAATTCGATCAATGGCATTGCTAATTTCTTTGAAAGTAACCAATGTGCATGTGGCTTAGTTATTTATTAAGGATTGCACATATGTTATTTCCAAAGTTTAAGAATTTCAGTCTTTTTTCTTCAGAGATGAAAAGAACGCTGAATTAATGCCTTTTTCTCGATTTCATTAAAATTATCCAAATTTGTTAATTTGTCAGGATCCTCAATTTTTACAAAGATAAATTTGACGTTTCTAAATGAATTTAGAGGGCGGAAAAAAATTTACGATGAAATCAGACTTTAACTTTAAGCTTCTTTTTAGAGCTCTTTATTAAAATTAGGAAAAGTATTAATTTTAATCTAGTCGACGATAAAAAATGGCCTTCATATAACTTAGCTTTCAGGTTGTGTTGTTTCATATTTTAAGTTAAGAAATTGAAATAGATAAAAAAAAAAAAATTGTTTACATAATTTTCAGACAGGAAATTTAACAGCTTTTTCTTTTTATAACTTCTATAATTTTCATTGAACCTTTTTCAGTGCATTTGATTTTAAAATTGAATTCGATTTTTTTTATCAGCTGTTATTTTATTTATTTATTTATTTCAGTTTTTTAAATTGTTAACCGTTCAAATATGAATTCTGTTCTTTTTATTTTATACTGTAAAATTGTTGATTATATTTAAACTTCTAGTGTGCTAATTTTATTCCTTGTAAATTTCCCAGAATGGCTACCGACACACTCATTTTGATTTTTTTTTTTTTTTTTTTTTTTTAAATGAATACAAAAACTATTTTATGCTACTAAAAGAAATTAACTATTATAAACAATATTTTTACCTGTTGCTACTTTAGTTTTGTGTTGTAGATTATACTTAAAGGTTTGAAAAGTTATCAACTTGGTTCTCATGTGAGGCTAATTTTGCAGAATCATCAAATCTTTTAAAACCAAATGCAAAGTGATCTTTGAAAAATTACTGTTAATAATATTCAATTTTATTGGCATAATTTAATTTTCAGAATAAATTTCGAAATCTTTACATTTTGGTTGTATCTTTAAATAAGCTTTTATTTTGCAGGATCATAACTATTTGTCTTAAATTGATGACCCAAATTTTTATTAAAATAATGAGAAATATGTTAAACTAAAAACTAAGCGCAAATGCAAGTCTGATTAATTTGTCTACCTCAACAATGTTTTTTGTCGTCTCGGATTGCAACAAAGGGACTTAATCTATTTTTTATAGAAACAATAGTTACGCATTGGCGCTTTCTTTTTTTTTTTTTTTTTTTTAATGTTTGTAGGAGAAGAAACGATAATAAATTTATAAGAATTTCATTTATCAGTTTAATTTCTGTTGGGTCGAAATTAGTATAAATATAAAAATACTCCCATGGCATTGCGAATTATTACAGTACACATATTTTCATCACCTGATTCACTTAAATGCCTGTAATGAATTTAAAAAGTAGGAATTTCTGCGTTTAGCATCTCAGGATGAATGTTTTTATATAGAATATACTTAGCTGATAAAATTTATTTGTTCTGTTTATATGGAATTTTTCAAACGGTAAAATGTACTTTAGCCCTCTGTTCTATGGGAAGTAACTCTGTTCTTTCAAGGAACAAAAAAACAAAAAACGAAACAAAAACTTCGTCTTAACCAAAGTACTATCAAATAACTTATAAATAAGATTTTGGTTAGTTTTATACTTTTTAAGATGGAATTATTTTCCAAAAATTGTTCCAAGTCTTTGGCATCAGTAAGTAAAAAAAAAAAAAAACAAACAAATTTCTGATGGTCCTTAGTTTAGTAATTTTTTTTCACTGAGAAATTTATTAAATTTTAAATATCAATTTTTGTTTTTGATAATGTTACTAAAACAGTGAACCAGTCTGTGCTAGCTGAAGCCTTTCCAGGTATCAATTTAGATAATATAGTTGGAATATCATTGTATAATTTGTCATATTTGTTTTATCTTGATGGTTTTACAATTCACTGAATAGTCTGTATTTGAAGTTGGTCATTATTGCGAAGTTTGCATTTCTGGGTGGTCCTATAGATTTGTCATCCAGTATTATTATAATGTTAAATCTGAAAATTTTGAATTGCCAAAAAGATGTTCGCTGGATTATGTAACTGAACACTAAATATTCAAAATTGTTCTTTGATCCCTATTGAAATGAGGTTTCTACAATATATTGAAAAACATCCTTTTGTAAATTGATGGCTAAGAAGTTTAAATGATCTAAAAAAATATTTTGTAACTGCTACATCAGGTCATTTTTATCTTTTTATTATATGTATTTTTTGTTTGCTATGTATTCATTCATTTAATATATATTTCAGTATCATTTCTAAATTAGTATTTAAATGGTTTATATATTAAAATTAAATTATTACCATATAATATTTAGTGATGGGAATATTTTTGGTGTCAAGCTAAAGTTGGACACTAATTTAAAAATTATATCATCAATTTTTGTATATTTTTATTAAATAAATCTGCTATTTTGACGTGATTAGTTATTGATAGTCATTATAACATTTACTTTATATAAATTATTAATATACACATCTATTCCTTCAGTGTCAATTTAATTTGGGCTATTGAATGCTTGCATATGTTAATTAGAAAAATTAATTTCATTTGCAATGTATATTGATAGAGGTCCCATAAAGTTTAAAATTTAATGAAATTCAATTTTTGTTTATTTTTCATGCAGTGTTTTTGAGATCTTAATGTTATTTTTTCAGTTTGCTGGGCTAGACTTGAACAGTTCTTCAGCACAAAGAAGTAATAGAGGCAAGAGCGAGTACTTTCCTAATCAAGCAAGACCAATTTCCAATAGTGAGTTAATTTTTACTTTTTCACGTTAAATTGTATTTTTACATCTCTCTATATATTCACGTTTACAGGAAATGTTTGTAGTTAAAACTGTATTTTCTTTTATTACTTCTACATAGACTTCCATATAAACTTGAAATAAAATGCTCTAAAAGATATCTACATATATATATATATATATATATATATATATATATAAAAAAAATAGTATAGGCTTCTTTCATGCACAGTTGAACCATATTGAAAGATAAAAAAAAGAAAAAGTTGCTTTCTGCAAATATGTGAACACAAGCTGTAGGATATCAAGAAAGATGAGTTTTGAATTATTGGATTTTTAAGTATTTGCTTTTTCGTGTATATGTTAACTTCTGTTCTTTCTCTTCCTAGACATTTTGAAATTTAAAGATAGTTTGAGTATATGATATGGCATGTTAAATTTCTTACATTTTGAATTTGTTTTAAAATGTTTCTGGAATTTGCATTTCATGAAATGTGCTCAAAGCTGAATTCATAACTTTTTTTTTTTTTTTTTTTTTTTTTTTGAAATTTTAGCTAAGAAATCAAATTGCCCACTTAGTTTGAATTAAATTTAGATGTATTGGGGGTAGAAATTATTGAATGATGCCAAGATTAAAAAGAAAAAAATTATCATTTGGGTTTTGACACACAGATGACTGAAAACTGCAGTCATGAATGGATAAAATTTACCAGTCAGTTTTCTGTATTAGTGGAAGCTGGCACTTGTTTGTGTGACTTCCAGTTTATCCTTTTTTTTTTTTTTACTAATATATATATATATATATATATATATATATATATATATAAAGAAACAATTACTTGCTTTTATAAGTGAAGAATATTTGGAAAGGCAAAGCATCGTTATTTGAGTTTTTACTGAAATCTTCAAAAATGAGGAAATGATTGTTTGGTCTCTAAGTGAAGATAGTATACTATTTACATTATTCGGACTGTTGTCCTCATCTTTGTCACCATATTTATACACAGATGTCCTCACAGACACATGGTACAGCGGATAAGGGTGCTAGTTCGATCCAGTGACAGAACCCAAAGAGTGAGTTCAGTACCTGGTTAAGGCGGTGGAGAACTTGGAGAGGGGAATTAACAGGAAATAACTGATGACATCCATTAGACATGGCACGTGGAACTAGAACAGTCTACCCCAGTGAACGAAATAAAGGGTTCAGTTTGACATTCCAACCACCTGAGGAAGGCCGGAGCATACAACGGCTGAAACGTAATAAATATGGCGATGAAGAAGAGGACAACATTCCGAATAATGTAAATAGTATGCATAATACTTCATCTCAGAAAATATAGAAAGTTACTGAAGATAGTATAGAATATTATTTAGTAGTTAGTTAGGAATGGTAAGTTTAACTATCATCTTGACTCATTTGATATTGCCAAAATGTATTGAGAAAGTGAGGTAATTTCCCTGTATGGTTGTCATTATAACACTTTAATGCTCTGAAATATTATTTTTAAGTCTATTCATTTTTAAATAAATTTTGCATGATAACTTTCATTTTTCTCTTTATTTGTAATTTAGATGCCCTTTTTAAATTTTTTTTTTTTTTTTTTTTAATTTGGTAAGGCTTTAAAAATTGTTTATTGTAAAATATGGAATTAATTTTCATGAGTTAATGAAAACTAGAAGAATATTGCATGACAATTTGAGTAAAACTTTAATACAGGCAAATACCTTTTACTTTTGGCATATTTATGCATTTGGCATTTTAATTTGACTTGATTATTTTTTTAATTTGCTAAATTCTCTAAATCTGTTCATAGCAGTTGGCCCACACCTTAAACTTAATTAGCAGTAATTTTAAACATCTCATGATGTCGCTTTCAATCAAAGGAATTAAAAACAATGAAAAATATTGTTATATCATTTGCTAACATTATTTAAACAGGTTTTTCTTTCCTTCATCAAAAATTTCTCACAAAGTCTTCATTAATTTATTCATTTAGGTCCTCCTGCCCAACAGAGTGTTGAGCGTTATGTGCCGCCACACATGCGTGGTGATGGGAGCAGTCAAATCTCCCGCGGTAGTAGTCTTGGAAGGGAATTCAGTGGCCCAGGAGATGACAGGCGACCTAGAGGTGGGTGGAGAACTTTTTAGTTACCCCAACTAAAATTAAGATAGATTTTAGAAAGTTTGTACAAACTAGATAGCATTCTTTTACTCTTTACTCTCATCTTCCATCTTATCTCTTCCCTTTAGTGATGCTCTAACATTAATGGGGGAACTTTCTTTCCTTGCAGTTTTTAACTTCTAAATATTTCTGCAAACCTTACCAAATATCAGCTCATATCACTTGTCTAATGCATTAATATTGTTGCTTCCTCAGTTCAGGATGTCCACAAAGGTGATGTATAATTTTTTTGATTGATTACAAATTTTTTTCATTTTTTTAATGACTAAAATTGTTTTGTACAATTTATTCATTCAATGAAAATTTAAATTTCATTTTAAAATGCTGAGAAAGCATTCAGCCCATTATCTTTTGATTGTTCAAATGCAAATTTTTTCATAAACTCTAAACTGCCATTTTCGTAAAATTTCATTCATTCATTCATTCATTTTATTTCATTGGAGATAGCTTTTGGTTTCCGATATTTTGAAGATATGGGACTGTTGTTTAAATTCAATTCTATGTCTATAGAATTCTCATTGTTTGTCTCGTGTATCAACTTCCTGTCAGTTTGAAGTGCTTGTCTGCAATGGTGCTTTCTTAAAATCAAAATCTTGCACAGAATTGATGCTTTTAATTTCTAAAACTGGCTGAATTTGACATTTATATTTCCTGTTTGATTTTTCATGGTTGGTACAAAGTTTACTAAGAATGAGAAATCATGCTGCTTTTCAAATTTTTAACATTTGTTTATTTTCTTTAATTGCCTTTGCTCAGGGATTTAATGAAATTTTGAAATGTTGAGCTGTATAACTAGTTTGCACATTATCATACAAAGTACATATAAACATTTTATTTCTTTTAGATTAGTTTCTTCAATCTATAAAAATCCCAGTTAGATTTAAAGCAAAAAAAAAATACATAACGTTTCTGAATTTAATTTCTTGCTTTCCGCAAGTAGTGAATTGTAATATTTTAGATTATCTGGGTGTAAATAATTGTGTGTGTATATAACATGAGAACTCTTATGTAGTGTTGGAATCATATTTTTAAATAAATAATTATAATATATATATATGTGTGTGTGTGTGTGTAACCTGTTTGAGCACTGGCATTTACACCTGATGTGTTAGTATTTAGTAGCTACTTCAAATGTTCAAATGTATTTGGTTTGTGTAAATGTATTAAAAAGGTATTGTTTTAAAAACTTGACATTTTAAATTTATCTAGAATTTTTCTTCAGATGTACAACTGGGTAAATATATTTATCAAAGTTGTACAATTATATATTGCTTACATTGAATTGAGAGAATTTTATTTAAAGTCTAACTTTTCAGTTAACTTTTAGTTTTTTTTTTATATTGATTTGAGGAATTTTTATTTTAAAAATCTTTAGATTACTGTTATCTTGAATTATAAGGGATTAAAATTATTCCTTTTGTAATTTAATTAGGTGGGTATCAAGGGATAATGTTTATTGGGTGAAGCTTTTGGATAACTTTTTTATAAAGTGTTCATTTATAATCACTTAGTATTTTACTGATTGAAAGTTACAGAAATTTATTTTGTTAATCACTTATTTCAGATTTTAAATTTCCATTTCTCTAGATTTAAATTTCTTAAATAATTTAGTGATTTGCTTTTTGGACTTGAATTATTTGGTGTTATTACTAATATGCATTTAATATGCTGAACTTTAATTAATCCCCTTTGTGATTGAAATTTAAGGTTCACTAATCCTTGAACTTTCTGGCCATGTCCTTGCACTGTTCTGAAAGTATATCAATTGATTCACTATACTTAAGATATTACATGATTAACCAATACTTTATCAAATGACAACTGGTCAAAATCTGAAAGCTTAGTAAATTGTTTCATATGATTAATAATTTAATTTTTTTAATTTAAACTTAGTTAAATTGCTTAATTTTCTGTTTTGTGCAGTTGGTAAATTTATTTTTAAATTTGCATTTGAGTTGTGACTGTCTTGCATATAAAGAACCTTTTGGCTTTCAAAACAACTTTCCATGTGCATAAAACCCTTTTTGTTCAATTTTCTGAAAGTTGTGAAATTCCAGTGTGGGACTTCACAATATTTACTTTTAAGGAAGCACATGGTTTGCTATTGGGCACTCTGAAATCTGTTCAATATTTCCATGAATAAATGTATTGTTACCTTTCTGTATTTAACTTGAATTGCAGAGAGGCTGTTTTTTGTGAAGATGGTTCTGAAATGGAAAAATAATATCTTATTGTTTCCCACTTTAGATAACTTCATGGGATCATATGGGCCCATTCAGCGAGGTGCTTACATTGGGGGCTTGCCTCCCCAAGGACTTGGCCAACCAAGTACGTTGTTTAAGTATGCAACCTGGGTATGCTTCAGCTGATCTTTGATTATTGTTTTAGTACTGCATGCAGTTTTAAATATCTCTACTCGTCTTCATTTTCTCAACTGAGCTGTTCACTTACAGTTTTCCTTTGCACTTATGCCAATTGTGGCCTGCTTTGTGGTGGTATTATTGGGCGTCCACTCTGATTAGTTCCTGCTGCTACTCTAATTCTCCTGCACCTTATGAAAGACTGCAGAAGAAGCTCTTGCTTATGTTCTCTTGCTGCTCTTGGTTGGTGGGTTCATCAAAGAAACACATGCATTATTAATATTCATGTAAAAATTCTCAATCTTAAAAAAACATTGTCTTCAGAAATTTTTGAAGATTTTGGGATTGCATGGATTCTTCATTTTTCATGTAATTCTTCATTTTTCATGTAATTGTTTTTATTATGCCAGTTATATTTTGGCATTAGCTTACATTACCTCTGTCCTATAATAATCGTTACATCTATTAAATGGGTCTGAAAATATAACTACAATGATGAGGAAAAAATGGTATTTGAAATTCACTCATTTCTCCAGTAAATAGGAATATGACTACTGTTAGTCTTTATTGTAGCGAATAACATTGTAAAAACAAACTTTCAGCTGATTGTGTGTGTGTGTGCATGTATATGATGTTTAATATCAGCAATGTCTTGCATTTTGTAACGCAGTAAATTTTTCTTGTTTAAATTGAAGACATCGATTTAAAATTTTCTATTTAGATTAGGTATATCTGAAGTTAAAATTTTATTTTCAGTATCAAAAAAAACTTTAATACAGGTATAGAGGGCTTGACAAAACAAATGGTCCCAAATTTTTAATTTGTTAAAAAGGTCAGTAATGACTACAAAACTTAGAAATTTGTTTAATGAAATGAAACATTCCTCAGTTCTTAAAACGAATGCTTATTACAAAAGCTTTAAACTCATTTATCTTTAAACTAAAAATAAAAAAACTGAAATGAGTAAAAATACATTTATTGGAACTGATGAAAAAGATGTTCTGAACAGTTTGACTGTCTCTCTTGCATTTCCTCTTCTAATGATAATTTGCAGTTTGAATTTGTTTGTAGCCAATATTTCTGGAACACCCTATATCCTATTATCTCTTGAAAGTGGTATCATCAAAGTCCTATCAAATGTTGAAATTACTTGTGCATGAATTCCATTGATTTCAAGAAAGTGTGTAAAAACAGTTTATGGGAATGTGATCGAGAGATTTTGGAGAAAATACAAGAAGTACTTTATACAGTTTTAAAATGCATCATTACAGAAAATGAAAGGCAAAGACAAATATCTATTGATGTAGTCTGATGTGAAATGGGGGTTCATTCACTCAGTTAACAATACAAATGAACACAGTATACCCTCTTTTGTATGGGTGCTGGTATATGAAACCAACTGATTATTAAAGACGAGATTGCTGCTTGACAAGAAGGTGCAATTTACATTTCTTTTTTGAAGTGTTAAATTTCTACAATATTTTATCCACTAAAATTTTCAACTAAGAATTTTTTTGTGAAACACAACTTAACACCACCAAATTAAGTGTTCATTTCTTTCCCCCTTAAGATGGGACTATTTTAATGTGTATGGACACACCTCTAAGCACAAGTTTTAAAAATACTACTATAAAATTTTCAGTTTTGGAAATATGAAAAAAAGCACTGCTCATCATTGAAATGGTGTCATAAGTTAGAGGCATGGAGTAAAAAAATAATTGTCACAAATGAGAAAGAATTGCATTTTTATAAAAAGATCAAATTCTGTTTACATTCTAATTTTATCAGAATAGCCTTGAAAATAGACTAGACATCAGTAGTTGAACGAAATTTCAATTTTGCATTTTTCTAAACGCAAATTATAACTGTTTGAGGTACCTATTTAAATCTTTAATGGATTTGTATAACTACAGAATTATATATTCAATTAACAGCATCAATTTAGCAGGTTAAAAGTAGATAGCCATAGAGCTGCTTTTTAATTCTCTATTAAAATTAATTTTAAGGATATATTTATGTGGAAGTTTGAGTGGAGGGGGTTATAATCATTTTAGATTTAACTGAATTTGGAAATGTTTGTAAAGATGGAGAATGTGTTGTGAAGAGATTTTTCTTTGTATGAAATTAGTTTAATTCCACTGGATGTACATGTTAAATCTTAAATTTATTTAACTGAAATCCTTCAGTTGCGAAACCAAATTGTATATAGATGCATGGATTAATGTCAAAATTTTTGAAAATATGTTCTCCCTTGTATTTGAAATCTATTTATAAGCAATAAACATACTTATATTAATGATTCATTCAAGATTTTGACAAAATAATTTTCTTACTTTGTTTATTGAAGCAAAATTTTTTATTTTTTTTTTTGCAATTAGGGATAAATATCTGAATTTAGATTCCTTACTTATCATTTGGATTTGCTTCAATAGTTTTAAAAAAAATGCTTAAGTTTTGGTGTTTTGTTTCTCTTGGTTTGTGTGGGTGTGCTGGCCACTATTGATGGAGAAATATGAATTTTTTATTTTAAGGAATTAGTTGCTAATTTTTATGAAATAAATACAATAGAATTTTAATAACTACATTTATGTAGTGCCCTGCCTCCTTAATTTTTTTTTTTTTTTTTTTTTCAAGCTAATATTTTCTTACTTCTGAAGTGATGTGATAACATTAATTTAGAGCTCTTAAATACTGCAATAATGAAATGATTTTATCATGCAACAGAAATTCTTGATCTACACTTTTTTTTTTTTTTTTTTTTTTTTTTTAAGTTTATGGTGAGTATTTTTTTTTTTTTTTTTTTTTTTTTTTTGAAAGCTATTTAGTATTTACTAATTTTTCCTGCTTATTATACAAAACAATTTCTGCATGTTGTGCATTACTGTCTAGTTCTGTATCTTTTTAGAGCATCTATTCTGAAAACTGTAACTTTGTCTTCAGTGGTGATATTGTGCAAAATTGTAATTTTTTGCCTGTATGTAAATACTTGTATATATTTGTTGGTCATTTCTACAAACAAAAATCATGAGCTTGTATTTTGTATTTGATTAAATTTATATACTTCATTGTTACTGTACTGACTTTATATTTCTATTAAAGACAGTGAATGTATTAAATTAATAAATGAAACCAACTTTATATCCTTCACTTCCATTTTTTTAAAGTCATATGTTAAAACTTACAATCTAAGTTATTGTGGGTTTTTGAGATTTGAGAATTTTTTTTTTTTTTTTTTGCACAAAATAAACAATGCCACTTGTATAGTTCATATAGTATAGTTGTATTAGTTTATATCTAGTACTATTTTGATATTAGTTTTGGGGGTTTATTCCATTTTCAATTGATATCTAATATACTTTATTCATTTTTAACTTGTAAAATTATTTTGTGTTTTCAGATTATGACCGGAGCTTCCCAACAACTGGCAATCGCTCCTATAACAGCAGCTATAGCTCTGGATCTAGAGGAAGCGGTAATTATAACAGCTATGACAGTAGGCGTGGTAGCTCAACTACTTACCAGCGTTACAATGGCCGGTGAGTTAAATATTTTGGACACTGTTGCTCATTGGAAACACATGGCTTCTGTTTTTTTTTTTTTATTTTAAATGTTTAATAACTTGATGTGTGTTAAAAAAAAAAATTCATTTTTTTTTTTTTTTTTTTTTTTTTTATTAAATTTTTAAAAGGCTGTTGTACCAGTTTGATTCATATTAAAGTTTTTTTTATGCCATGACAATTTGAATTGCTATGATATTCCAGATTTCTGTGGTTGCTTAAATAGAAATTATAATATTGCTGCTAGTGGCATCTTTTCCGTGCACCATCACTTTATTAGAAGGCTTAGACTGTAACATTCCTCTTAGGTTTTTGTATAATAAATTAATTCTCCATTATAAATTTAAAACTTTGGATTATGAATAAGTATGTATTTATATAATTGTTTTTGAGCACGTTTTAATTTTTGGAAATCATTTCTTTTTATAGTGGTGGCAGTAATAGCAACACAAGTGATGGCCGCTGGAACAGTAGGCCAGAGAGGCAGAGCAGTTTGCCACCTCAACAGAGGCCTTTTCCCAGTCGGTGGGACAACCTAGATGATGACAGAACAGGTAGCAGTGGATGGAGCGGTAACAACCGCTGGGATAATCGCCCAGATGCAAATAATCGGTGGCGAAATGAAGATTATAACAAGAAAGAGGATTGGTCAGTACCTCTGCAAAGAAATGAACGAATTGAACAGTGAGTAGATAGCCTTACTATGTTTAAATATGGAATCTGTCATAACATTATTGGGTAATCTCATCAGTTTGTCCAGAATAATGGGGATGGAACAAATTATTCATTTTTATAATTCTTGTAATGTGATGAAATTTCTTCAACTTTGTAAGAAGCTACCAATCCAAAGGTGGCTTGCAGTGAATATTCATATTTTTAATGTTGGTTTGAAGTTACAAATTTACCAAGCTGAGATTTCTTTATAGCATTTTTTTTTCTTTGGTATTAAGTTTGCTCATTTTGAATAGACTAGAGTAATATTGGGTTTTTCTCCATAAATTTATTTCTCTAGCTTTATTCTCAAATTTCGACTGCCATGCTTAATCTGTTCAGCAATTTCTGAATTTTGAATTTCTTTTTAAATGAAATTTTGTCATGCAACCCTGGCTGTTTCAGAGAATTGTTTGGTAGCTGTAATACAGGAATTAACTTTGACAAGTATGAAGACATTCCTGTGGAAGCAACTGGTGAGGATCTACCCAAATGCTGCGATTCTGTAAGTTGGTTTAAGTTTATCAATTAGTCATTAAATGCATTTATACAATAACTTTCATAGTCCATTTGAATTGAAATTTATATTGATTTGAAACTTTCTTAATCTTTACATTGATCCATAATTAATAAGTCTTTTGTACAGTAAAAATTGAGAAAAGAGGAAACCTGTGATTTATATTTTGTAAGATGCTGTTTTGAGATAGATTAAAATTTTTAGTTAATTTTAAGGCTTTGTGAATTTATTTTAATTTTTTTTTTTTCAGTTTAATGATGCAAAACTTGGAGAGATTTTAAGGAACAATTTGATACTATGCAACTATACAAAACCAACTCCTGTTCAGAAATGGGCTATTCCTATTGTGATGAATAATCGAGATTTGATGGCTTGTGCTCAGACAGGTAGGAATGAAACTGAAATAAAAATGTCTTTAGGCTATTATAAACTTAATGTTAGCCTGTTTTAACACTGGCTTTAATATTGAGCCCATATAATTCTCAAAAGAACTGTTTTGTTTTTCTATATTTAAAAACAAAACATTACTTCACTTATTGTAAAAGCCTCATCCGTTGAGACAATTTGTATCTGTTTGTTTAAAATATTTGTATGACAGATTTAAAAAAAGTGGTTTTTATTTTTCCTACATAGGATCTGGAAAGACAGCTGCTTTCTTGGTTCCCATTCTGAATGCTCTTTATGAAAATGGTCCATTTGATACACCTCTTCCTCCAGTAGGTGTCCTGCACTCTTTAAAATTTATGAATGCTTAAATTTTTGTTCTTGATGTAACCTTAAAACTTACATGGTAAACATCTTAAATAGCATTACATAGTTTCCTTAACTTTTAATTTGTTAGTTTTTAACCCTGTTCCCTGCAAAATCATGCAAAGAATTTAAATTTCAGTCAGCTAAATAATAATAAAAGTTCAAACATTGTTTTACTTTCTCTAGAATGCAATAAGATGGTAAGTGTGGATGGGAATTTGTAAATTTAGGCTTATTTACTGTAACTGTATGATGAAACTGATAATATTAAATTTTATTCTAACAGTAATCGGAGATATTTTCAAAATGGCAACTTAGATTTTTATTGCAGAAGATTTTTAAAAAATTTCCGCTGATGTTTAAGACATTGAAAAAAATTTATATTACTTCTGTGTAGATAGAAATTAACCTACTTCCCTCCTTTTTATATCACCTTAAATGATGAGCTCCTTGGAAACACAGCCTTATTTGATACCTTGTTATTACTTTTTAACTATTGCAATTAATTAAATATTTTAAGATTATTGAAAAATAATACATGTAATATCATTATGGTTTAATAGGCACAAAGGGAAACTTCTTTCTTATGCTTTAAATGACCAGTTTTAAAAAAAAAAACTTTTTCTAGGAAGCATCTTGCATGGAAATTTTAATTCTTTATTACAAACCTACTGCTTACACTAATAATTAATATTGCAACTTTTGTGATTTTCATTCAGCTCAAATTTGAAAGCATAGCTAAAATATTATCTCCAGTATATGACAAGATAACTTGTTCCTAATGATTTCTTTAAATATTCAGTTTGTGTATTTTTCAAACTTAATTTTATGTGCACTGTTTTATATACACAATGTTAAAATATGAATTTTATTTTTATTGAAGCTTGGAAACAATTTTTGGTTTTTGTATTCTAAAACAAGGTTGCTTGTTTGAAATAAGTACCAATCTTCTATGTAGATTGAAAATTTTTCTCAGACTTCAACTTAGAGCTTTTTTAAATTTTTTTTTTTTTTTTTTTATCTGCTACCATGTATTTCATAGTTGTAACTAAAAAATGAATTTTAATGATTGTTGGACAGTTCCTATTTACTCTTTTTTTTTTTCCTTTTTTTAGGGCCGAGCCTATGGCAGGCGTAAGCAATATCCATTAGCTTTAGTCTTGGCACCTACCCGTGAATTAGCATCACAAATTTATGATGAAGCTAGAAAGGTATGTTGTATTATCTTGGATTTTTTTCCCCACAAATTTTAATCAAATAAAATAAATGTAAATTTGTTTAAAGCCAGATATAATTGTGATTGTTGGCATAAAATTCTTGTTGCCTTAAATGTTATGGGGGAGCATCTTAACATTTTATTAATTTAAAAAGTAATTGTCCCATTTTAACTGATTGTTCATTATGAATAGTTATTATACCTGTTTATTGAACAAACTGAGAATATATATATATATATATATATATATATATATATATCCTCCCAAATGCCAGGCCTCCATTCCATAATTCAGATTCATCTCTCACATTTGCAGAAGAGTCATACAAGGATTGGTTTGTTAAGCCACTCCAAACACTGCTTGCAAAAGGATGATGTTTGATCAAAATGGGTGCTACTATTGTGACATAAATGGCTACCTTTCACACACACACACACACACACACACACACACACACACACGTCATGGGAGAGGTGCTTGTATTGTGGTTGGTACCCCTCTGGGGATTTAAGCCATGGCATCTCTATAGATAGTTCACAACTCACTGATATTTGTAGATGCAGGAAGAGATAGATGTGCAAATAGTCCACTTCACCATGCACCATAAATACTCAATTGTACTCGTGTCAAATGAATGTGTTTGTAAGTTTCAAAAATGCTCCTTGAACCAATTCTAGTATTTCAATGGCTATGCTGTCTCTGGATGAATTTTTGATAGGAACCAATCTTAAATTGTGTAATGAAGTTTGTGTTGAATACCCACTCTTATAGCCTTTTACATTAAAGTGGGCTTTATTCTTGGGCTGATGTTTATTTTCATTAATGACTTATCCTGATGTCATCTGTTCTCAACTTGGTAGTTATACTGATGAGATAACTATTTACTCCTGTCTTAATAGTAAGTCTGATAGGTCCAATAAAGTAAAACTGGCAGTTAACCTTGAAAATGACCAATTGTTTACTGGGTCAAGAAATGGCTTGTAGATTTTAATGCCTACAAAATAGTTATCTTTTAGTCATCTTGGTCTCTCATTTTCTACAGATATGATGTTGAATGATCATATTGAATCAATTGCTTGGTCTGCTTCTAGAAAAGTTGGTTCATTGTGTTTTGCCAGACACTTTCTGCCATTATCCATCTTACACATTTATAAATTTACCATTTTTCTTGTACTTCTTGCCTGTAGAACTCTCTTCAGGTATCTTGCTTCCTTGTCTTCAAAAACTTAAATGCAACATCACTTGCCGTCTTCTACCTAACTGAATCCCGTTCTTTTACTATTGTCCTTTCTCTTTAATGTCTTCTCGCTTCCTTTCACACGCAGTATCTTGTGTCTAGTTTTAGTGGCAATATCTTCTTGCTTGTGGTGAAATGATTATATTAAAAAAAAAAAAAACTTAGGCCTGATGACATAGGGCTTTATCCTGCTTGAATAACTTGTTGCTGCAGGACATTGAGTTCATGAATCGATGCAAATTGTTACGAAACATTAAAAATGTAGCAGTCATTGTTCAATTACATCTTTAGATGGACAGTTGGACTTAACTCTTGCCACATGAACAGACTTCATACTATTGTGGAGCCATCAGCAGTCTGTAGTCTTATTGCCAATTGGCCTCCATAGCCTCATTAGCTAGACAACAACTGGAACCACTAATTGAAACCTGGAGCCCTGGTATTGTTTGACATTGTCCGATGAAACTCCATTGGGCTGTCACACATTGCCATCCTTTCATAGTTCAATTAGCGCTTCACCTGGCTTTGTGATGTCACTATGCTTGGTGTCTTTAACAGGAAATGCTCTGGGTTTTCTCATCCAGTATCCAATCAAAATTAAAGACTGCTAAACTGACCTGCTTGGATATGCATCTAGTACCTCTTCTATTGGGACACCCTGTCAGTTGGGGGCTTCAGAATACACCAACTGGACCTCTGCAGAGCCAAAAAATAAACAAAAAAACCCTAAACCATGAAGCCACCTGTTTGCTGTGTATGGTGAACCATGATTCCTGGGGATGGAATCCTGGTGATTGAGGGTTTTAGGAGGAGAGATGGATTAACCCCTGAATCCCAACACCTTGCTTTGGCCTTTACCTGGGCTAGATGGGCAGTTGGAGAGGCCCGATCTGATCAACTAGCTGGATTCAGCTTCTTACAAACTCTTGAGGAGCTGAATTGGAAAGTGGTAGCTGTTGGGTCAATCATGCTAAGAGATAATTGTTCCAAACTATTCCTGAGCAAGTAGTTGAGACAATTATTAAGACTTAGGTTAAACAATTATTGACTCATCATAGTGTGAGTATATTGACTGTATGGCCCTGATCCAAGGCAAATGGGCTTCCTCCTTAACATTTCCCCTAATAGGACTCTAATTTCATTATATGGAAACAAAGAAAAACCCAAACGGAAAGACTCCATGTGGAGTCAGATTTTGATCAAGAACAGCCTGAGGTACCCTTTCCTGGATTTATAATACTTGAATCTATAGAGGAGGCCCCACTAACCAAATTATGACCATTTCTGATATATATATTTTTTTGGATGGTTAATCTGAAATCAGTAGAAAAAACTTAAAAAAAAATAAAATGGAACCATTCTGATAGAAATATCAAATAAAAGACATGTGAGCACACTATTAAAGAATAAAAAATTCCATAACATCTGTATAAAAGCATACCCCCCCTTTTTTTGTGTGTGGTTTTTAGTGGAGATTTATCACTTTGTACTGTCAAAGAAATAAAAGTAATAAAAAAAAAACAAATGGATAACAATTAAAAAACAAAATCAAATAATTAATACTAACAATATATTATCTTTCAATACATTGAGACCACTATCTGAAATTAAAATTGGATATTTAATTGCTAAAGTAGAAAAATATATTCCGAATCTGAGATGCCATAAATGTCAAAAATATAGCCACCTAAAGGAATATTGTACAAGAGAACAGGCATGTGTAGGGTAATAGAACCAAACCATGATACAACATGTAAAAATCAACCAAGATGTATCAACTGCAATGGAGTTCATAGAGCTGATGTTGAAGAGTGCAAAACCTGGGGAAAAGAAATAACTAAAATCACTCAAAACATTACATTCCCAGAAGCTAGAAAACTTATAGAATACTCCTCTGTTGAAAAATTATGCAAAAATCACCAGATGTAAGCAAACATCTAGGAAATAATTTAACAAAAAACAAAACAGAATAATGAACATCATTTAATAAGTGAATTGCAACACCTCATAAAGCCATAAAAACCAGTATAACAAATATGGAAATAGCTCTCTCTGCCAAATTAAAACATAACCCAATAACTGAAGAATGAAACACAAATCTGTTAGAAAGAACATAGAAGATCTATATCAAAGATGAGAGAAAAAGACAAAAACCAAAAATCTACCCCAAAAGCCAAACAGCAAAGAAATCTGAAAAATTTGAACAAATGGAAATTGAAATGGACCTTTCACCCTCAATACATCATAAACAATATGCATCACTTAACAAAACAAATCTTATAATGGAAAGGAAATATGGTTACTTAATACTCAATAAAAGGGCATAAAAATCCAGTAAAAGTCATAATCAACTATGGTACACAGAATTCTTCAATGGAATTGCCATGGGCTAAAAGCTAATCTTAAAATTTTACTACTGCTTATGTCCAGATGTTGTTTGTCTTCAAGAAACCTTTTAAAACAAGATAAAATTAATATTAAAAATTATCAGATATATAGCCATATATATGGGGCAGGACAAAAGGCCTGTGGTGGAACTTCAATCCTCATTAGGAACACCATCCCTAAGAGCCAAATTAATATAACTACAGACTTTCAGGCAGTTGGAGTTGGGGCCAATTTGCATAAAACCACCAACATATGCTTGGTTTATATACCACCGTAATGAAGTTGATTATATATATGATCAATGTTTGATAGACCAAGTACCCAAACCATTTATTTATTAGGCTTTAATAGCCACAACATTGCATGGGGAAATAAAGACTTTTTTTTTTTTTTTTTTTTTTTTCTTCCATAAGATGAAAAACCGGGGAGAAACTTATAAATGAGAATGACTTATATCTACTAAATAAAGGAGCATGTACATATATAAACACTTTCTCGGATGACTATTTAGTCATCGATTTGACTGTGACCCAACAATATATTTAGGGTTTTTTGAGATATACAAGATGACACGGAAGTGACCATTTCCCAATCTTCCTGGAAAACATCGAACCAAGTAGTGAAAATATACCCTGCTGGAAAATGAACAAAGCAAATCAGGACAAATTCAAAGGACTTTGTAAAGCAAATTTAACACAGAACAACAATATAGATTCAGTAGATTGCTTTGCAGAGATACTAATCACTATAGCAAAGAAATGTATCCTCAAAAATTCAACATCAAATAGAAGCAGACCTTGGTTCAATAGTAAATGTTTGCAAGGTATAAGATTACAAAATGCATCGCTACGAAAATTTTAACAAAGAACCTACAACGGTAAACTTAAACAATTACAAGGTATATAGACCAATGGCTCGTAGAGCAGTGAAAAAAGTCAAAAAAGAATGTCTGTAAAAATGTCAACAAGCTAAGCTCCTCCTCAAACAAAAGCAGTATGGGAAATACCAAATGGCACCAACTAAGCATATTTACAAAAATAACTTGTGACCAACAAAAAGGACATAGCAGATACATTAGCTGAAACTATTTTAATAATTTCAAGTAAAAATGGAAAACACATTCCTAGTGCTAAAAAAAAAAGTATAGAAAAATACAAACTCAATTTTACAGTTCAGCAGAATTGGAATCCTCTAGAAAAAGGTGCCATAACACTGCAGTTGGACCTGATGATGTCCACTACAAGTTTCTAAGACAATTGCCAGGAGAATACTTTAGAACTTTTTAAAAATATACAATATATGGATAAAAGAAAGTTTCCCAGATATTTGGAAACAGACTAGTCCCAAAACCTGGAAAAGACAACTCTGACCCAGAAAACTACTGACCTATTTAATAAATAATATAGTAAAAAATTTAACCTCTGGAGTAGGACTTTTGTATGTAGATGACTTCCTCATTTTTTACAAATTCATACATACCATAGAAAGACCATTACAGCAGCATCTTAATAAAGTTAACCAGTAGGCAACTGAAAATGGCTTTGGGTTTTCTAAAGTGAAAAATAATATATACACTTCTATCAGAAGAGAAAACTACACAATGATCCGACTCCAAGACTAGAAGAGACTGAAATACCAGTTGTAGATCCTTATAAATTTTGGGGAATAATATTTGATAAAAAACTTACTTTTATCCCCCATCTGAAATATCTCAAATATAGCAAAGCAATAAAACTCCTTAGTGTGGTGGCTCACACTGAATGGTGAGCAGGCTGGAAAACTTCACACGACATTCGATCAACACTAGATTATGGTAGCATCATATACACTTCATCAAGAAAATCTTATTTAAAACTCTTTGATTCTACCATACATGGAAGTTTAAGATTGGTGCTTGGAAAGTTGGAAGTTTATATGCAGAAGCTGATGAAACTCCTAATCTTAGATGTGAAAAATTGGTGCTACATTATTATACATGGCATACTATACTCCAGACTTGCTCATGGCACAATTGAAAGCCAGAACTGGAGGCCTATTGAAAAATGTTTGGTTTTTCAGAAATTTTGGAAGAAAATTAACTATTTTTGAAAAATATTTAGAATAACATTTTGACCCATACCCGAGGATAATAGAATGTGTTGAAAGTTAAATAAATGAAAATATGTATTTTTGATGTGGACACTAAGTATTAAACAAAACAAAAAGGTAATTAAGATTTCTGGTAAAAGATATGATCCACATAATGCTGAAACATTCACACTATTTACAGGTCTCAGTGAACCCTTTTTGTCTACTTCCCAGAGATTGAATAAAGAGTACAGCTCAAATTTCCATTAAAGTTACCAGGTTCAACACACAGTACCTGAAGGCTGGAGGACATTAGTTGAAATGTGTATAATCAGTCATCTCAGAAATATAGACAGATAATCAAAATAATTCTAGGAAAGTTTCAAAATCTTTAAAGCTGGTTCTTTGTCTGATCTAGGTGTAATATTTGCAAAAATATGAGCATGCTTTCTCTCCATGTCTAAAAAACTGAAACTGGGAAATAAGCATAAAAATGTTATGTAATCATTTATAACACACCTATTCCTTTATTGTATGAAAAAGGATGAAACAAAAAATAACCATTGGCAAGTATGGTCAATTGAATTGGTATATTTTTACTTTTCATAATAAAAATGGGTTTCATATTCTCTGGGTTGATTATCATATCTTGTAATATATCCAGCTATGTATACGGGACATTTTTATTTTATCAGAAAGAGATGGTTCTAAATTTTCCAATTTGCCAAATATTTCTGAACCTTCTTCACAAAGCTTATAATCACAAGATATACATTTGTGACCTGGTTTAACATCAAAATAAATAAATACTTCAGTTAAATAATGTAAATGACGTTCCAAATGTAAGGAAAAATTTCTTTGAATTACTTAAGCCAGCAACACTGGAATAGCTAACTCAGACACTAAAACTAAAATGCTTGCTGCTCTCATCAGCCTCCAGTTCTGTCCCTTCACTACATTATGACTTTGCTATCTAATATAGAACACTATGGTATATATAAAACTAAAATCCTGTTTATGTAACACTTCTTACAAAAATACATTCCTCCCTAAACAAAAACCTCTATCAACAAAAAGAGAAAAAGTATAAAATCATTTGGGCTTCAAATGGAACTCCTTATTGAGGAATCTAAAATACAACTGCTAACAATCCATGACAATATCAGTCCTAACATTGCTCCCTGGACCATGCAATCTCCAAAAATAATATTGGATTTATACAAATTCCAAAAAACAAAGATACATCCTCTTAACTTTCAGAAAGAATTTGATGAAATCAAAGACTATCCCAGTTTACAGATGGGTCTAAACACTGAAATATAACAGGATATCAGGAGCAGCAATATCTTGGAAGAAAATAAGCAGTAAACACCTCTCAGATGAAGCCTCCATCTTCAATGTAGAAGCATGTGCCATAGATCTAGTGCTCAGCATTATTTCAATAAATAACACCAAAAATAAATTACCTTTTCCAATTCACTATCGGTTCTAATAACACTAAAAACAAAACTTGACAACTCCATTAATAGTTGCTAAATAAACTCCATTTGATATGTGTTGAAAGATGTATGATGTGTTGGGTCCCAAGTCACATTGAAACAATTGGAAATTACATGCAGCTGCTAAATATGTTGAAAATATGGAAATTGACCTGAACTTTAAGATCCCTCACACACTTGAAGAGCCAAATAAACAGGTTTATTAAATAAAAATGGCAACAACTTTGAAGTAACAGTGCTCCAAGTAAATTACAAATCAAGCCAGTACTGGAAGCCAGGATACAGGAAATCTTAGAGGTAGTGTTGGCCAGCTTGCGTATTGGCCATACAAGAATTACACTTATTACTTACTGAAAGGGAGAAGACCAACCAACATGCAAATCTTGCATACACTATAGGACACGTATTGAATGTACAGCTCTTGCTCTATCTCTGAGGAGCTCCTTCAATATAGATACAAGGGAGCTCCTTCAAAGAGCAAGGATGGATGATATATCATTTCTCAAGAGTGGATTTGTGCCAGAATATGTAAACCTAAAAAAAAAAAAACCCAAAATAACTGATATCTAAACCAACCAAAGTAGTTGAACTGAAGTAGCCGATATAATGTGATGGAGGGATAGGTGGGGGATTTTGGTGAAACCATAAATTGGAAAAAAAAAATAGTTGATACCATATGATTGGGTAGATAGATGAAAAAAAAAAAAAAAAAAAAAAATGACCCACAAGGTGTTAAGCTGTGAAACAAAATAAACTTCCATTGGATGTGATTTGAGTCGGTGTTGCTTCTCTGTTGCCTCAGTTTTTGCCAGACACTTCTGATCACAACCATTAAGGGGCCCATAGTTTAATGCCTGCTATTCTTTGTACATGTGACACTGTAGATCTCAAATGTCCCCACAATTTCAGAAATGGATTGTCTCAATATGTCTGGCATCCACTATTATGCCCCATTTGAACACTGATAATTCATGTTGCTTTGCCACTGACATCCAAGCTAGTGTTGGCACTCACCAGATGTTGAAGCATAACTCTGATACGTCTATTAAAATTTTTATCTAGGCCTCTCTGACAGGTTAAGTTAGAGAACTTGATGAAATCTGGTAAATTTATATTATAAAAAGAACTGATTCAATGTAGGTCAGATAATATCTCCATGTTATTTTGCATATTTAATGTATATACTTATATCTGTGCTGTGTGATTGACTTACATGTGTTTGCCGTTTAATGTACACATCCAATTTCAGTTTTGAATAAGACATTAGAATAATACAGTCTCTTCTTACTTAGTCTTGACTAATTTCTTTGCAAAAAATGTTTATTTTTCTTTTTTAAACCCTAAAAATATTTGATAATTTTAAGACTTGGAAAAGTATTTGGTAATATATAAATTTTTTTTTTTTTTTTTTTTTTTTCTTTTGTGCAACTTTTGTAAAAATATTAAATATTTTTGGATTTAGTAAACAAGGAAAAAGTAAAAAAAAAAAAAAAAAAAAGTGTGGCTTTCAGAAGACATTTTATGATTCTTCCTGTATTTAAACTCATTATTTTCTTCCTAATAAATGTACTTTTTTAAATGGGAAAATAATTTTAGATTTGGAATTTTATCTTGTCACCAGCAAAATAATCAGTACCAAACTGTTTAGATTATAGTTCCTGAAGAATGTATACATAATTGATTTGTTTATCAGGTTAAATGTAGAAATGTTTCATATAACTGATAAAATTTCAAATGTAGCCTTTCCTGTTTTTTTTTTTTTTTTTTTTTTTTTTAACTGATAGCAAAAGAATAACAATTTTGAAAGTAGAAAGAACAATGTTTCTCTTCTATAATATAATTTCTAAATTTTTTTTGTGCTCTTAATATAATAGAGATATGGAGACAGAATATCACTTGCTGTTGAAGCATCTGTGTACAGGTGATACCTCTTGGAAGCTTATCTGGTATTTTATACTAGCAGAAGTTTCTGAATATTTAAAATAAATACAGTTGTATCAATTTAGTAAATGCTGTCACATGTAGATTCTATTAGTATTGCTTTGAAGTAATTAATGTTATTTTACCTTTTTATAGACATGTGAGCTAAAATTGCTTTTCTGTTTTTTTTGTTTTTTTTTTTTTTTTCTCAAAAAAGCTATACTAATCTAGAAGGGCATTGGTGTGTGACTGGTTTTTTGTTTATTCTAATCATTATTTATTTTCTTTTTCTAGTTCTCTTATCGTTCACATGTACGTCCATGTGTTGTGTATGGGGGTGCTGACATCAGTGCTCAAATAAGAGATCTTGACAGAGGCTGTCATTTATTGGTAGCCACTCCTGGCCGTTTAGTAGACATGATGGAAAGGGGTCGTGTTGGTTTAGACTACTGCAAGTAAGTTTGGTTGATGCTTTTTTTTTTTTTTTTTTTTTTTTTTTTTTTTTTTATCACCAATATAATATGCTATATTACTTTCTTTTATTGCTTAAGAAACAAAACTGAACAAATTCTTAAATTATCTTTGTAAACCATGGAACTTTTATAAAGTATTAATTTTCATTGAAATTAAGATGTTCATTCAAGATATTGTGAATATTGATACCCCCCCCCCAAAAAAAAAATTCTCAATGTACTGATAAGTTGATTAATTATTTTTTTTTTTTTCTTTTGCAGATTCTTAGTATTGGATGAAGCAGACCGTATGTTGGACATGGGTTTTGAACCCCAAATTAGAAGAATTGTCCAAAAGGATACTATGCCACTAGCTGGCAAACGTGAAACTCTCATGTTTAGTGCAACATTTCCTAGGGAAATTCAGGTTAGAATCTAAAGTTTTTGATATTTTAAATTGTAAACCAATTTCATTCAATGTGGATGCTTGGTTTATTGGGAAAATTTTGATCTGATCATAAGTATTAAGATTAATTAATTTTAGTAAGTTAATAGAATATGCCTACAAAAGTGTTCATTAATTTGTTTTTACCTAGATTTTTTTTTCATTACTCTTAATTTATATAAGTTATATTTTTTCATCTTTTCAGATACTGGCTAAAGATTTTCTCCACAACTATATTTTCCTTGCTGTTGGCCGTGTTGGCAGCACAAGTGAAAACATCACCCAGAAAGTTGTTTGGGTAGAGGAATGTGAGAAAAGATCTTATCTCTTGGATCTTATTAATGCAACTGGTGAGTTGCTTTATAGTTTAATTCAATCAAATTTTATTTTAGATTAACTAATAAATGCACTTGCCATTTTTATATGGTGACTTTGCTTATAAAATGTAAACTATTTAAATAGCTTTTTTTTTTTTTTTTTTTTTTTATTAAATTTCTTTCTTGCAGAAATTTACTATATTGATTGAAATCTCTTCCTTTCCTGTGTACAGAAAAGTTTATTGATTCGTTAAGCTGATGATTTCTATTCTGCAGGTCCAGACTCCTTAACTCTTGTGTTTGTAGAGACAAAGAAAGGGGCTGATGCTTTAGAAGAGTTCCTAGTTGTGGAGGGTTTCCCTGCTACCAGCATCCATGGTGATAGATCTCAGAGGGAACGTGAAGATGCCCTAAGAGCTTTTCGCAATGGAGAAAAACCTATTCTGGTGGCGACTGCTGTAAGTATTTATATTGAGAAGTGCTCATGTTGAAATCTTAATACAGGTTAGGAAATCCTCTGTAAAATTTTCATTTTGAAAATTTTAATACCATTAGATGTATGAAATGGTTCCTAGTGCTCTTTTTTTGGAAACTGTTGAAAGCCAGGTTATTACTAGAAAGTTTTGCACATACATTTAGATATTTGAAAAGCAGCATTATTGGAAATAATCTACTGAAATATTTGAATGCTTTTTTTATGTAAGCATATTTTGCTAATGCAGGACATTAAATGCAAGAGCTAAATATTGGACAAAAAGTGAATTTTCTTACATTAACTTTATTGAACAGATTTACCACTTTCTTATATATATATATATATATATATATATATATATATATATATATATATATATATATGAACAATTCTATCCTACAATATTTCTGCCCTTGGCACTTTTTACAAATTGTCTTTTTTTTTTTTTTTTTTTTTAAGAGATTTTTTTTTTTAATTAAATGGTCACCAACAGGTACAGGATCTGGTGAATGCAGATGAGTAAATGCTTCATAGACAATTGTAACAATTTTTGTCTAGTTGCCAAAGAAACCACCTGATAGGGTGTTAACTCTTTTAATCTTACCTAGTTTTTAGATACTTTATAACTTGCTGTCTTCAAATCTTGTTTGGTTCTCCAGAAGGAGCTCATAATGGAGAGCTCCTTGCCACTCATACAATGTACAAAACATCACCTTTTAGATAATGGTTTTTGTTATGATTTAGCAATGGTTCATTTCATCAGTTCCCACTCATTCCACTTCTTGCACGTCACAATTTTGCAAATAGTGTTCAGAATTTTATTTTGTATTTGTGCTTATGTAGGAGAGACAGGGGCAAAGTAATTTGATGACTAAGCAGGTGCAATTAAGTGATCATTTTGAATAGTTCAAACTAAATGTTTCAAATGCCATATAACAAAAATACAACATTTAAAGATTTGAAATTATTTTTTTAACTGAATAATACAATTTCTGCAGAAAGTTTTGCTATGTTATTTAGGATTAGCTGGTTATTTGCTTGAAAATTTAATATATTTTTTTTTTTTTTTTTCATTCTGTATATATTGCAAAATTGTTATATTTCAGTGACTTATTTTTTGAATTGCTGGTGAATTGTGGGAATATTTTCTAGCTATAAAATATCTTGACTGTTTAGATCAGCTTTGGGATAAAGCGAAAAATCAAATTTCTCTTGGTATTTTACTTCTATATTGATGCATATTTCTCAAATGCTTTAAAACTTATAGCATTAAATTGCATTCTAAATTTACAGATTTTTAAAGTTAACATAGCTTATTTCTTTCATTTTGTAATATTAAGAAGGAAAATTATATTCCCTGGATTATTAAGCTAATTTCTTTCATAAATTGACTGACATGTGTCCATATGAACTAATATAATGCTAATGTATAGTGAACTGTTGAACCTGACTGAGTATGTATAGCATATGTAAAACTGATGTCTTTTTTTTTTTTTTTTTTTTTTTTTTTTAAATGAAGATGTTCTAGGCAGTATCATGACAGCAATTTAATTCTGATATATTTAGTGATTAGTTGAAGTATGACTTGTGAGCACACAATTTACAGTATAAAAATAAAAAAAAATTGAAGCAAATTTTTCGACTTTATTCCTTTTAGATTTTTTTCAGTTTGTATACTGGAACAAATTATTTTTCAAAGCTTATATTTTTAGTGCAGGTGTCAGTTCTTGAATGTTGCTTCAAAGCAGTAAAGTTTTTTTTTCTTAATACTTTAAATGAATTAAAAATAGATTTAATTCAATTTGGGTTGCACAATTTGATAATTTATATGTAAGGACATTTTTCTCACTACACACGCAACTCCGTTAAGAAAACTTAAAGTATCTGCAGGAGTTATTCCTCTTAATGATATTTTTTTTTTATTGTATATTGCAACTGATTACTAAAGAACATTCACTCTGTACAAGGCCAAAGAACTACTTGGTGAAGTTATATGGTTGTAAGAGGAAGAAGTGCAGATTATGAAAATATGTAGGATAGATAATCACTGGTGGGAGTCTGTTCCACAAAGTAGAGCTTCTCATGAAGAAGCTGTCTGAGTGGAACTTATCAATTCATACAAAACAAATGACCCTGTGTATATGGCATGGCTTGTTCTAGCTGTAATGGTCTGAACTGGTGGAATTATGCATGTAGTACTGAAGATTTGGCATGGAACATGTCATGATAACTTTTTTTTTTTTATACTTTGCAAGCCCATACATTCTGCTTTAAGTTGGAAACAGTAATATCAGGATCATTATTAAAGGAAACTCTTATTTCTTGGGCCTCATGAGACTTTTTTCTGCAGTTATACTTGTGTGCTGTAAGAATTTGGTGAAGTTGCCTTAGCAATGAGTCTTTAAACAGTGCTACTTGCATCATTGCAGAGACTTTTCTCATAGCTAGTAACAAAGAATTGCCGTTTGGTATATTGACTGATCATCATAATGGCAAAAAAGGTTGGCAAGATTTTTGAGATTTTTTTTTTTTTTTTTTTTTTTATTGGCTCATGGACCTGATTCCTTCATAGTTTGATATTTGTTTTTTATAACAATCAACACTTTAATAAGTATCAGATTTCAAACAATCTGATAGAATGCTAATGCACTTGAAATCTGGAATTTGGTATATTGTATTATACAAGGCTGCACTGTTGTTTGGTGCCAATTAAGCCCCCTCTATAGCATTTTGTGTAATGAATCATTTAATTATCTCTGGGATTTAATAATGAAGTGATGCTGTGTATTATAGTCACATGATTTACATATAATTCCAATAAAGTACTTATCACTGTCAAGACAACAGGTATGGAACATTCAATTGTGGTTTTGCAAATTAATGACTTTGGTTTTGACATACATTGTGTACCTTCTGGATCATTTTGATTGTGAAACACAAAATTTAGAAAACTTTTGTCACTAGTATGATCTTTGAAAGATAAATACAGCTCATTTAAATGAGCTTATAAATTTTTTCATTAATCTGTACTGACTGCAACAATCTTTTCTCTCTAGGAGATTCAATCTAATTAGAAAGAAAAAAAATAAGCTCCTAAACTTTTACTTTCTTGTCTAGTAAGAGTGGGTGACCTGAGTTTTTGTCTGGGGCAATGAAAATGTCTTTCTCTTTAACACTTGCACATTTAATCAAATATGCAATTATACCAAATATTGATTTTTATATGTGGTATTTGGTCCAGTATCAGTTTTGTTTGCTTCATAGGGTTTCTCCAGTAGTTTGTACAAATACTTTATCCATGTTTCAAGCCCAATACTTTTGAATGTCCATTTACACAGTGGTGGGAACCTGAAAAGTTTATCTTAATTTACCACTAAAATTAATAGCAGCCACTGTTATATACAAAACTTATCAAATCCGTATACTTTCATCACATTAGAAATGCACCAACTAAAGTTTGATGCCCTTGAAATGAAAAATTTTTTTCTTAGGCAATCTGATTATAACAATATTTCAATAAAATGCATATAGCGGAATAAACTTTTAATTTTATGTCTTGACATTTACGTTGGTGTTTCTGCATAGATTAAGTATCACTCAAACTGACTATAATCCTTTTTTATATTGAATGAACATCAGGTTTCTGACTTAGCTTGTTAAAATGTATTTCCTATCTTCTTGTTTCATGGAGTCACTTAATTATACTTGTATTGAAGTTTTTTTTTTTTTTTTTTTTTTTGTTGCAGGTTGCGGCTCGAGGTCTTGATATTCCCAATGTACGTCATGTGATAAACTTTGATTTGCCGAGTGATATTGAAGAATATGTACACCGCATTGGACGTACAGGTCGTGTGGGCAATTTAGGTAAGTGCCAACTCTCTTGTTTAAACTAATGCAAAAATGTATTTCTACTTGTGAAATTTTTATTCATACAGATCTTTTGAGTTTTCAGTTGCAATTTATTTTGTGCTATATCAGCTATTAAAATATTAGTTAAGTAACTAGCTAATTTAAAACCTGAAACAGTCACTTGTCTTCAAAAATATCTTCTGCCCTGAAATCAAAAATCTTACTTTACAGGTTAGATTAAATCATAAACTAGATCTTGCTGGCCAGATAACATTATTACTGTAAAAGAAAAAAATTATTTTTGTAGAAAAATGTAAAATAAAGAGGCTAATGTACACAATATATATATATATATATATATATATATATATATATATATATATATATATATATATATATATTACAATAAACGTGCAATCAATTTACAAATACATGAATTATTCATACAAAACTAATGAAAGGTTAATGATTTAAATGGCAAGACATCCATCTTACAAAACGATTCAAATAGTACACAAAAACCTCTAAATCCGTTATGCATGAGTTGATCCTTGTTTATATAAATTTCTGGTATAGTTGTTATTTTACTACAAGCTTTCGTCTGTTACAGACATCATCAGGTATATAATAGATGTTGTTCTTGGTTTTTTCTCTTAGTAATAAGAGGACATCGAAAATATATGTGTATTGTATCCAAAATGCTATTAAAAACGAGTTATTGGTTTTTGAACGCGCCAAAGCAACGCTGAGTCTGATTTTGAATTTAAATATCTGATCCATGTGCGACTTTTGGTTAATAAGTGCGACATTACTGTAATTATTGAACAATATAGTTCATGCCACTTTGACAGTAAAATTTACCAGTAAAATAATTTGTTCATTACCATATTTGGTATAGACGCAGACATTTAAAAAAATTCAAAATCAAACTCAGCGTTGTTTTGGCGTTGTTCAAAAAACCAATAACTCATTTTTAAGTAGCATTTGGATACAATACACATATATTTTGATGTCCTCTTATTACTAAGAGAAAAAAACCAAGAACAACATCTATTATATACCTGATTGACGATGGTCTGTAGGAACAGACGAAAGCTTGTAGTAAAAAAAATAACAACTAATACGGCAGAAATTTATATAAACAAGAATCAACTCATGCATAACGGATTTAGAGGTTTTTGTGTACTATTTGAATCGTTTGCAAGATGGATGTCTTGCCATTTAAATCATTAACTGATTTGCATTAGTATTTATATATATATATATATATATATATATATATATATATATATATATATATATATATATATTAAAAAAATAGATGAACCATGGGTTTAAAAAGAAAAAAAAAGGAAAACGTGGGATCATTTCTCGGTCTTCACTGAGAAATGGAAGCGACGCAAGGGAGTCAACGAAGAACAGACACAAGATGATGGATTTCAGAATAAAACATTTATTTATAAGTATATAAACAGGTAAAGAAAGAAAAAAGAAAATTCATTTAACAAATGGGAAGGGGACCATGAAAGATCAGAAGGTGCGAGTGAATTCATACATGTACACAAAAAAAAAAAAAAAAAAAAAAGATCAAGCCAAGAGAATCAACTCATCTGTCAAGTTGATATTTCCACACACAATTCTGATTTGCCGAAGTGAAAGTTCTTATGCTAAAACAATATTTTGGTTGGCCGGCAATTTTCCTGGGTTCCTTTTCTTTCGGAAGTGAGTGTTCGGGGTCCACAGCATCTCGTACAGGTGTTTTGTTGGGTCAATTCAATTTCTGTAGCAGTCCTTTCATCTCTAGTCGACAGACTTTGCTGTCTTCATTTCAGTGGGCAATCCATTTTGGAATCGGGATGATTTTGCCCAGCGATGTTCATCTGCCACTGGTCAGACGGAAACTGAAAATCCTTTTTTAGATTTTTGCTGTCCCCAAAGACTATCACGTGGGTTCTCTTTGTCCTTGACCGTGTATGCAGGAGGATAGGGTGCAAATCACACAGTGTTTGAATGATGGTCAAAATTTCGATCTACACTTAGTAGGGTCTGATCACGTGAATTGCAGCAGGAGATCCTGATGGTGCTTGGAATTTACTTATGGTCGACCGCCTGATAGCTGCGAAATTTTGGAACCAGGTCATTCTCATGTTTGGTCACTTCAAAGTTCACGGGCCCATGATTTGTAGGTGGAAGAGTAGGTAAAGAGGGAAAGAATTTGTGAAGAAGAGGGTATGGCTGATTATAGAACATATTCGCTTGCAAGTTGAAAGCATTGAATTTTATCTATATTTATTTTTCTCTTATATGTAACTAATTTCGACTAGAATTAGGGATTTTTCTTTGGGGTGCTTTTTAGCCTTACACCTATATGGTTAATGAAATTGTGGCTACATCAATATATATATATATATATATATATATATATATATATATATATATATATAATTCTGATAATTGTCCTTACAGTAAGATTGTCCAGATTGATGCATAAATTCAAGGTAAAAAGAATACCTGCTTAACTTTAGAACTAGATGCAGATTATCATCAAGGGCAGATAACCAGATAGTGTGTGCACATACATACACATACCTACCTCTCTTATTTATATATATATATATATATATATATATATATATATATATAATAATTATTTCCAAGAGGATAGAATCCGGGTAGAGCTCAATATACAAGTCACAGCAAGAATATAATATAAAAGACTCAAACACTAATATTCCATGGTTATAATTTATTACATTGGAATCGTAATCACAATCCAATTCATCAGACCTACAAATTTGTTGGGCTGATGGATCGTAATTCCAATGTAATAAATTACAATCATGGAATATTAGTGGTTGAGATATATATATATGTGTGTGTGGAAAGTCGATCAGAAATTGTACAAATAAATAACACATCACACAATAACCAGTTCTATAAAATTCATCATTTGTCTCTACCTACCTTGATGGTGGTTTAGTTGAAAGCTTGGGCTGTATTTCTTCCAAAATGAACCTTGGACAATTTGATGTAATTTTATCTGAGAAGTGTTATTTGTAATTTGGAAAAGGCTATCATTAAAATTAATCGACACAATGCCTTTTACCATGTTTTCAAAAGTGTATCTGTTTCTCAAATAATAGTAGGCTGCTTCCAGCACTTACAGTAGAAAGCACAATACATCTGATCTATAAACAGTATATCAGAGAGATAGGGAAAAAAGCATACATACATTTACTTTGAAGCCATTAAGCTGTGTACTAAATATTTGGATTTCAGCATTGAGTGGCCCATGGAGGTTGTCATGCTGCTGAACAAAACCAAACAACCAACCTTTTGTAATTTTTAAAAATTACAAAATGGTTAAATTTATTTATCATAAATTATCTAGGACATGCACTAGCAGGCTGCCTGCTGTTACCCTTGTATTTTATAAAAATATGCAAAGCAAACTTAATAGGTTTAGAAAAAAATTGAAAAAATATTCCATTTACTAAAAATTTAATTCAAGGAAGTTAATTTATAAAAAAAAAAAAAAATCATACAAAATAGCACGTTTGGGGAATGTTTATTCTAGCTACTAAAGACCAGTAACCAGAAATTTCCAATAGTAATTATGTATTCTCTGGTTTTCCTTGGAGACAAAAATCATATGTTAGCTACAGATAACTATTGACTTGAAGTAAATGTTAAGTTAGTATCTTCTGCCATCAGTCAATTTTTATGCTGCTTTTTCTAAACCTAATTGGAAACGTCACATTTTCTGCCTACTTACTTTCCTTATTCCAAAATCTACTTTATATTTATCTTAGATATTTTTTGTTCATCTTTTGTAAATTAATGTTAAAATATTGTGAATCTCTAAAGACTTTGTTACAAAATGTAGCACCATAACAAGAATTTTTTAATTAAATGACATAATTTTTTTTATGCTTAATGTACTTAAGGCTAAAAAGTTGAAATTTGTTTTTGTAAGAGAGCCTATTGCCTTTTATTGGAAAATGTATATAATTTTAAAATGAGTCGCAAAGTGATTAAATAATTGCATCTAGACAAAAACAAATCATAATTTACATCTAAAAATTAATCTGGATCAATGTATTTATTGACCATATATTTATTTTTATGCCAACATGTAACCATAAATTAATTTCTCTTATTTAATAAGCTAAGATTATCGAAATGTTTTAAGATAACTAATTTTTCAACAAGACATAAATGATATCTATTGCCTTTCCCATTGTAAAATTTGACTCTTGCTACAATACTCCATGTAATTACCACCATTCTTTAATTGCCAGAAATGTTTGGAGAGAGCAGTGCTGTTTGTGTATTTTATATTGCCTAAAGTCATTCGATGATCGTAGAAACAATTTTCATGGATTTTCAGTGGAACCAAAATAAGATTTCACATTGTTACTGGAATATATGCCATTTTGGCATATTATATATTAATCATACATTGACTGTTTAAAGGAAAAAATTTTTTGGGCAGTTGCATTTACTTTTAAAAGATTAAGTCTGTCTGCATTGGACATGTATTTGTTTAATATAATATGTTGCTATATAGATTTATTCATGTTACAAATGCAGTTATAGTTTAACATTTTTTGTTAAAAATCTTTTTTTGTGTTGCTTACAAATTTAGGAAAATTCTTCCGATATTCATTTGAACATTAGGATTAAAGAGAGGATTAAACCATATGTTATAATGAAAAATTAGTTAAAACACTTCAATAACCTTAGCTTATTAATAAAATAATATTGATGGTTATATGTAGGTGTAAAAATAATTATGGATATCTTTTTATTAAAATTTAAATTGTGTAACAGTGTATACTTAGATTTATATACTTATATTTAGATTGTGTTGTGCATGAAATTCCAAATCATGCTATTGGTGAGTGTGCATATATATATATATATATATATATATATATATATATATATATATATATATATATATATAGTGAGGTGAAACAAGTATTTGGATAGTAAAAAAAAAAAATATTTAAAATCATATATTGAAAGAAAAGCATTGTCTAAAAAGCTTAATATATTTGTAAAATAATTATAAATGCAAATAAACAACAAAAATAGTGTGTGTGTGTGTGTATATATATATATATATATATATATATATATATATTATATACAAATTATTAAAACAGGTTGCATGGAATATTGCTGTCATCTATAGTCTGGATTCCCTGCTGTTTGTCTTAGTCCTTGACAAAGTTATGCAATGTGGTTGGCCCTGATCTTTCAAAGTTGGACGTGTTTGAATACTTATCTAGTGTATGAATTTTACAAATCAACTTTTCTGTTTGATCCTAGACAGCTATCATGTATTAGCCTTGACATTGGCAGTTTTGCAAGATGAATCCACTGAACTCTGAAAAATTTAAAATTATATTAGCTTCAAAGATGGCCTACCAAGTCATCTTCAGAGTTCTAATTCCAACAATTTGGAGTCCCAATAAGAGCAGATTTTCCATTCTGTCACAGATTACCACTAAAATGATTTAATTCTTTTTGTATTCTGTCGTGCTACTTTATTCTTATTTAGGATTGCAGCATTCTTTGCAAAGGTTGTTCTGGAAGTTAGATTAAGGGCAGAAGTATGAGGTGTGAAACCCTATCAAGCTAGAGCCACTTATCCAATGGGTGGAAAGCTTGTGAAGTTTTTTTCATTTTCCTTTTATCTTGTTTTAGCTTTAATAATATTTATATATTGTCACAGTTTCTTACTAAGTATTATAATGAAACAAAATAGGATTCTATACTACAAATGGGGGGGGAAAAAAAACGAATTTCCCAAAAACCTGAAACTGAATTTTACAGAAAATCGGCCCTTCCATGTGTGTATGTATAACATTTTCTTTAACCAGCATGAAAATTTTTGCTTTTAAATGATTTGATTTTTTTTTTCTTTTTTAATTGTAAATGTATTTTTTTTTTTTCCATCAGGTCTTGCCACCAGCTTTTTTAATGAGAAAAATAAGAATGTTATAAGGGATCTTTTGGATCTTCTTGTGGAAGCAAAACAAGAGGTGCCATCTTGGTTGGAATCCATGGCTTATGATTCAAGACCACAAGGTGGTGTTAGACGTGGAGCTAGGCGGTAAGCAATAGTCTATTAATCTTTACTTGTAGGAGCTGAATTTAAAATAAAATGTGCATTATATTGAGTAACCCAACCACTTGAAACTCAATTGGTAGTGAAAACTCGAGTAATTGTAATGTACTTCAAGTGTTCCTCTTGAATTATTGAGTTATAGCTGTTGTATTATTAAATATTTTAAAAAAAAACGTTTCTTAGCATATTTGTAATTCTCTTATGTTAATATTTGCATTTATATTATTTTTGTTGGCATTAATCTTAAAAGTGCAAAGAATTATTTTCAAAGTATGGTTCTGAATAAATTTGTTTAAATGTTAAACTGGGGTCAAATATTTGGGCATATTTCTACTGTATAAAGTACTTTTTGTACCTAACTTTTAGCTGAAGTCAAACTGTTCTAGTCTGAGTATGTTCTGTAATAATTTTGTTTTTGTTCTTTCAGATATACTGCAGCTTTTGGTGGACGTGATTATCGTACACCCAGTAACAATAACAAAACTACCAAGCCAGCAAGCACTGTCAACAATTACAACAGCCCAGCATTCAACCCCTACAATTGTATGCAGTTTAATGGCTATGGCGGTTCCTATGGTGGAACCTATGCCCAACCAGTTCAGGATTGGTGGGGTAGCTAAGCCAACAATTCAAAGCAACTAAGCAATCAACCACATTAAGTAGCGTGATTTCATTACAGGGTAACACCAATGTAGAACCAGTGACTGGACTATTCAGCAGGAAAAATGTTACCAAGGTATAAAAAATAATAAAAAAAAAAAAAAAAAAAAAAATTGTTCCAAGGGAAAAATAGAGCACAAAAAAGTTAAAAATGACAAAATGTTGAAAAACCAAAAAGATGAAAATTCATAAAGAAAAACTTGAAAATCCAGTGAATCCTAAATTGTTGAGCCAATTCTGAGCTTTTGTGTTTGTAGATATTTTAGAATTTTGTGTCAACGTCATTGTTTTCTAAAATGGTACTGTGACGGGCAACTGTTTCATCAGCCATGTTCAGTCAAGTCATGTAATGATGAAAATTGTGGTTAGCCATGGAGAAAAAAAAAAAAAGAAAGGTTAACAGTATTTTCACACTCTTTGCCTTTCCTTCAACCTTCACTTTCACTCAGTAGAAAAGATATTTACTACAAATACTACCAGTCTCTGCTTATGTATAACTAAAGATGTTAAACAACTTTTTCTATCCATGTATTACCAACATGGCTTTTGAATGTATGCATTTGTGTGTGTGTGTGTGTGTATGTATGTATATATATATATATATATATATATATATATATATATATATATATGTGTGTACATGCACATACACGTGTGTGTGCATGCACACACACTCTCCCCCATATATGTAGATAATATACACATATAATGCACATGTGGCAATATCATTCATTATACATATATATTATGTACATGTATGAAAGTTGTTTCAAGTGCACTCTTTTTTTCATTTCATTTTCTCACTATTTTCTCCCTACTCTCTTTATTCCATTTGCTGCGTTAATGTGATATTTCATTCTTTTTCTAACATTTTGTAATCTATTCATTGCTATTCTTCTGCCTTGTAGCACTACTTGCTTATTTGTTGTATTTTATTCTATTTCATTGTTTTTTTGTTTTGTTTTTTTCTTAAGGTCTTGTCTGTTGGACAAACGTTTCTACAAAAATATGGTGAAAAAAAAAAAAAAAAAAATAAAAGAAATAATTTAAAAAAAAAAATATTTTAGAAGAATTTGTAGATAAAATGATAGTTGCTGCTGGTTCTACACCTTGTTTCCCAGAGAGGTTAGCCAGACTACAATGGTTAAAGAAAAAAAGAAAAAAGAAAAAAAAAAAGAAAAAAAAAAAAGAGAGAAACAAAGGTATATATGCCGTCCTGTCATACTGCAAATCACGTTCTGTTGAGGTGCGGTTTTAACAAGAACACCCAATTCTTGAGTTTTTCCGCTAAGATAAAGAAAGAAAAAAAAAACCTAAACAAAGCAAACTTTTCTTCTGTCAAGGCTTTTCCCTTTCTTTTTCATTTGATGATGTTAAATGGGGAACATGGATTGCTGAGCTGTTGGTGTGTCAGTGTAGCATTGTTACAGGTAGCTAGCTCATTTCTTGGACGTCCTGAGATAATTTAAAAAAAAAAAAGAAAAAAGTAAAAAAATGTTTTGTTGTCAAAATAATTGTAGCAGCAAGCCCCTGCCTGGCTGCCATGTTCAGAAGGGTCTTCATAAAACACTGAATAATTTGCATGCTTATAAAAAGCATGTAATATCAGAATTCTCAGAGCCCTTCTTAAGATGTGATTAAAAGACTTTTATACTACTTTTTTTCTTTTTTTTTCCCCCTTTCCTCCAAAATCTACCCCTCTGCTTTTTTATTGTTCCCTGCCCCCATTTTTTCTACACGCTGCCAATTGACAGTATCAAAAAGCATGTGCCTCTTAAAAAGCCCAGTTGGGAGATTCTTCTCCTTCCAGCTGGCAATACAGATCTCTGGGTGAACTGTACAGTCCACCCATATTTTAAGATAAAAACTGCATTTATGAAAATTAGTAAATTCCTGAAAGGATTTTGGAAGAACTGCTTCCCAAATCCAATTGACTGTTTTGAAAAAAAGAAAAAAAAAAAAGAAACTGGTATGTTTTTTGGACCATCGTTGTAGATTTACTTGGTTCCCAGTTCCTGACTTAATTCGGGAGCTTTACCCCCCAACCCCATTGATAGACATCGACTGAAAACAAGCATATCATTAAATATTTTTTTTTTTTTTTAAATGGCAACTTGTTGCCGTGAAGAAGTGAAACATTGTAGGATATTGTCAGAGCTATCAGATGACAAGCTACAAGGACACCAGCTAGTTTGTGTTGATATCAATGTACCGCCACCACCGCCTCCTCTTCAGCCTGTCACCAGTTACTGCTGCTGCTGCAGTAGTTGACACACTTAACAGCCACTATTGTAAGCGTGCTGACATCCTGAGGGCCCAACGGATGTTGCTTCCCCCACTTGCAGCAATCCGTCCACCTATTGGCATGTTGGCACGCATGGCTGGAGCCTCCATCACCACCACTACTACTACTACTACTACTACTGCTGCTGTTGTGTTGCATGGAACTGGTGTGAACTAACAAAAAGATAACTGTTTTGTGTCCCATTTGTAATGCTGCAGAGAGGCCCTAATGTGAGTTGTGGAGCTGTCTGAATGCACTAAGGTGATTATATAATGAGAGACAAGACAAAATTAAGTGATGAATTTCCTTAAAGAATACATTCCATTATTTTTTCCTTTTATAATTAGTTTTTTTTTTTTTTTTTTTTAAATAATACTCTACCTATCGACCAGTCATTGTAAGTATCTTTACATGCATACCATTTGGCGCGTACATGTATGTAAATTGCATAGACCTACCTTTCCCTTAAAACTAGTTGCCATCTTCCCTGTCCCTTTCATTGAAGAACATACTTGCATACATATATATCCATAGATTTATAACGTATATATGTATGTGTCAATATATATCAGGTTTAACTACAAAATAAGTTAATCAATCATGGTCCACTTGTGTTTGTGGTGTGAGAGAGAGGAAGAAATTTGTGTTGCTTAAGATCTGAGTGTGTGCTAGGTTGATGTTTTCATAACAAAATATTTATATATAATATATATATATTAAAACCCAAAAGAAACTACTTCAAAGCTAAAATACATGTGTCTTTCATTTAGTTGTGCGATTTATTATGGAGTGAAAGATTGAACCAATTCATTGACTTCCAAATCCATGAATGCTTCAGGCATTTTTCATTATTTCATGTATCATCTAAGACCAGAGAGATGACCGAGTGAGCAGCTACTACTGCTTCTGGTCTCTGGTTTTATGTAAATATGAATGAAGAAAAATTTTATATGTAAAGTGCTGAAAATTATAACAATTATAAAATACACCCAAAAATACAATGTCAGTTAATTAAACTCAATCATATAATGCTGTTTATTAAAGAAACTCTTTGAAAATTTATCAAAGATAAACTTAGTAATTTTTGAAAGTGCATCTCGCACAAGTGGGCCGCAGTTAACTGGTCAGTAAATACTAGCCAATTTGAATGCTGTTGCTACCCATAATGGGTAACAATCTAATAATGTGTATATATGAATGTATATATAATTGTCTTTAAATATATATATATATACACTTCCCCTTTCTGATGCAGATTTTTTTTTTAATATTTTGTCCCTTGTATTTTTTTATGCCCTTAAAGATCCAGCGTTTTCTCTTAGCCCACTAATGTTAAGGACAGACAAACTAGTCATACTACCCTTTATTTTTGGGGTAACCGTTATTTCTTGCAGTCCAGATCTCGAGAATCAGGGATTCTCTGCACTAAAGGAATGGGATTCATTCAATCATTTATTTATTTCCATTGTTGCAATACTCTGTATTTATTTTCTTGGTCATGTGATATTTACAAATAGTTAACTTCAAAGTATCACGAAATTGTAATTTTTTATAAAGAGCAACCATGATTATTACTATTTTTCTTTTTTTTTTTTTTTTTTTTACTTAAAACTTTTTTTTTCTTTTTTAACTTTATTTTTTCATTTTTTTTTTTTTTTTTTTTTTTTTTTTTATCTGGGAATGAGAGATACTTTTTTATATAGGACGGCATGTAAATTTTGAATATCATTGAGAATACTATCAGCAAGTCTGGCTGCAATTAACATACTGTGATGTATTAAGCTGGTCAGTTGGGGCAGGTATTATCACTGCTGGTTCTCCAACCACCATCATTACATCATAGTTCATTTTATGAGCGATAATGAACATGTGGTTGTACTTAATAAAAAAAAAAATGAAAAATTGTTTTGTTTTTTGTTTTTTTATATATACATCCCCACCCATTCAATCTGTCTTATCAACAGTCAAAATTTCTATTCTGATCTGTCAAAATAGAATATAACACAAAAGTTTATCAATTTAAATTTTGTATTTAAAATCAAAAGATAAATGCACCAATTTGCAGTTTTTCTTTGATGAAATCACTTAAAATGTTTTGTTATTTGTATTATTTGATATGCTTATAAGATATCCAATCTTTTATGTTTCCAATTAGGAAAATCTTTTTTCTCCTTTTCTTTTAAGATTTCATGTTACTTTCTATTTCAATTTTTTCTTTTAATGTTGAACTGGCATTTTCCAAGTGAACCCATTTAGTTTATCAATAAATTAGCAGGAAATAATTCTTAAGTTCAAGATGAAATTTACAAAACTAACAAACCATCAATCCTATTTAATGTTTTTCAGAGAAATCAATGTAAGGCCTTCTTTGATCCTGATAGAACCTACCTGAAGTTGTAGATATTAATAGGAATTGGTAGTGCAATAGTCTAATTCATCACCACTTTGGAGATAGAGAACAATCTTATTACTTTTCCTTTCCACTACTACAAATTTGTTGATACCTTGATCTTTTTAAAATCTGAATAGCTCCCCTTACTTTCCCCCACCTTTACAAAGAATATATTTGATTGGTGGCAATCTTTTCCTCTGTTCTTTTACACTGAAACTCCATAACCAACTTTAATTCATAATTTGTTTTAATACTTGTACTAGTTGAAATGTTTTCCACTTTTATAAAAAAAAAAAAAAACTGAATAATTTATTGCTTGTTAGTACAGAGCTGTTTCTCCTCATGGAAAGAAAATTAAGTTAAGCAGGACTTTCATATACACCTGCTTTAATGCTAATTTCAATCACTGCAAGTCATTGTTTTAACCAAGACTATTCTGGTGTTTAGTATGTAGGACATAGTCAACTACTAGTCTTCAAACTGTTCTTGATGGCTAGATTCTTATGTCTGTCAACTTTTCTGTTGTTTCACTGGGTTGGAAAGAAGTCAGTAAGCTGTGAAATGAACATGTATAAATATAAGTGGAGATGATTGCTTTTCATTCAGACTGAAGCAGACACCTTAGTAGAAAGAAACAAGGTAACCATGTTCATTGGGCATTAGGGATGAGTTTGATCTTATCTTAATATAGGTCCCTCCAAATATTTGGTAAAGATTCAGCATACCATGACAGCTGCAGAAGGTTTTTGAGCATTTTGCCTATTACTTTCAGTATCCTATGTATGTAAAGGTTACAAGAATTTAGAAATAATAAAATTTTCTTTGACACAATTTTTCTTCGTATATACAACTGGTCTCTAGTTTTATCACATTTTTGTGCACAATTCTTATTTTCTTTTAAAATCATTCTTTATGATCCCTTCATATAATTCGGTTTCCCTAATATCTTTTAAGAGTGACTATGTAATATTTTGACTCACAATGTGTGCTAGAAAACAAACAAAAAAGAAAAAAAGCAACACACTGTGCTACAGTTAAGTTTTAATTACAGTTTAATTAGGCAATATCAATTGCAATGAAAAGCAAACTTAAACCTTTTGATAAGATTACTTAAAATTATATATAAAAGGTGTTCATGTTATCCATTATTTTTCTTTTTTATGGCTAAAGAACGTTAGATAAACCTCGAGCTGTCAACAACTTTAACTACCACTGTAAAATGCATTTGTGATATTTTAAACTTAAAGTAAATGTTTCAGAGCAGATTAATTATACTGTAAACCAGCTAATATTCCTCAAATAAATTTTACGAAAGCATATTTTTTAAGATTTAAAGAGTATTATATTGCTATGATTGACAAAAAAAAAAAAAAAAAAAATTCCTTGCTGTAAATTTAAATTAGTTTTTGAAATACAGTAAAGTATTTTACTTATTGGAAATTTTAATTTAATTGAAATTAAAAGATTTTTCATTTTAAACTTTAGGTATTGCATTTTCTCTGATGGTACCTATCTTAATATCAAGTGGACTTGCTTGCTTCCTTTTCTCTTGATATGTGCATATAAACTAAAGTTTCTCTTTGTAATTTGTTTGTCTCCCCCCACCTGCCTGTGAATTTGCTTAGTCTTTTTCTTTCTTTCTTCTCTCTCCACTTGTGTTATTCCTTTGAAGGGAAACTGACTTTTATTTCTGTCTTTAGTTTAATTCAAATAAATCTCTGAAATTATCTTTCATTGAACCCTCTGGTCTTCTTTTGATGTTAAGTGTATTAAGTAATGTTAAGGGAATTTAAAACCAAAACCACTGAAACTGACTCTGGGATTAACCTGTGATGATGATGATAATAGCATTGTTTGTTTCTTTTATCTTGACAGTATTATTTTTTTTCTTTCTCCACTAAATCCTGCTTCTTTAAGATAGCTTCCCCCCCTTATGGAAAATTCTGCTAAAAATTGTTTAAACTGCCTCGGTCACCTTCCCAGATGGATGAGCATGTATCTAACTAGATGCTTCTTGATTGAATTTATTGATGAAAGAAAAGCAATAAATTTTCATCCTTCATTTTGACAAAAATTCCCCTCTTCTGTATTTTTTTTCTGTTAGGCTATCCTTTTAGCCAACCATCATTTCTCATCACTTAATTTTATTTTTTTTTTTTTTATGTTTTTTTTTTTTTTTGTATTGGAATCTGGTATATTAAGAATCTCTTTGCCATTTACTCAGTTGTACAAGTGAAACCCTAAGTCAAGCTTGGGTTCAAATGCAGATTTGTTTGGTTAATTTTGGCATGGCATTTACATGGGTTTCATTACAGTAAACTAACTTTACTTTATAGCAGTTATTTTAGTAGTGTCTTGATAATTCCTTTTTAAAGAAAATGTTAGGTAGCTGGTATGATGTACCCAGTTTTAAAAAAAAAATGTAATTTGAAGTGCCCTATAAAAACTGGTAGGCAGCAACTAAATTGTTAATTCACTAGTAAACCTGTTGTGGAGGTTCCAAGTTTAATGTATATTGATCCCCCACCTCTCCATAGTGTTTATTTTTAAAATTGCTGCCTCCATATATTGAACTCGATGTGGTTTATGAAGTTGAAATGTTTGTTTACTGCTTGTCTAAATGTTTTGATATGAAGAACAAAAGCCTTGGTTGTAAATTCAATCTCTGAGTCAAGCAGTGAAATTGATATACTCTGGTTCAGAGGAATGAGTAGAAATGGCATTGCATGGATAAATTAACTCCTCATAAGGCTAGTGGGATGTGAACCCATCTAACTTTTATGGACTGCATAAGTGAATGAAGCCATTGAAAATACCATCCTGTGGCCAATAAACCGGGATTGTTAAGCTCTTATAGTTCAAGCATCTCTATAAAATAGATGCCCGTTTGAGTCTCTTCTTCCTGATTTACAGTTAACTAATGGAGACTGGACAATTGTGGTGAAAAGCAGCTGAAATGAATAAAGTTGCTAGTTTGAATACATCAATGTATAATAATTTTTATTGCAAATTCAGACAATGCAATTGCATCTACTACTAAAAATAAGAAAATTTGAGCTGTTTTCATAAATATTTATTCTAGCAGTTTCCTGTGAGAGCCATTTTGGCTTGTTACAAATCCATTTCTTTGATCAAAGAAAATTTTGTATACATGATCAAATGGTGAAACTTTTTCTGTTAGAAGAAACTGGATTAGGCTTCAGGGCATGATTGGTCAGCCATCATGTCTGACTAGCACAACAACAAAAAAAACTTGTCTTCAAGGATACATTACACAATTCTTTATTTTTTACAATATATTCCTTTTTTTAATTTTTGAACACTAAACTCCTTTGTCATCAAGCTGGGCCACCTCTCTAAAAAATAAAAAAAAGAAAAGGTTGAAGGAAAAGTAACAAATGGAAAAATTATTACATAGTCCTGCAGACAAGAAGTTTGTGTATGATGGTGAATCAATATATCTTAATCTGATACATACAAGTGAGTTAATGATAACTTAGTTTGGTCAGATTTTTAGGAGTCAGACTATCAGAATTAGAGCAAGAAAACTTTTCAGCACTTTCTCAAGGGATTTTTAATATGAAATATTCAGTGCATGATATTTGCATATCTAAAGAGACATTGGATTAATTACACTGACAAAGGGGATTACATAAACAATTTGTGAAAAATAAATAAACCCTACCCACTCTATTAGGTTTATATATAGTAATAGCTGGCCACTCGTATTCGAGGATACCTGTCTACTAAGGCAGCTAACCAGTCTATTGAAGACTCTTGCTCAGGCACATTCATGTTTGTTCAACACCCACAGATCCCACCTGTGGTTTATACTGCAACTATACTGAGCTAACCTTAGTTACAGTTTCTGAGAGAGAGAATGGTTGCATGGCCAAGTGGTTAGAACATTTGCTTTCTGACCATGAGACCTGGGTTCAAATCTCACCATAGTTGATTGGACTGGAGGGGGATGATCCCAGCATGCAGCACCTTTGGAAAGTGACTGAAAACCATACCATGGGTTGATCCAAGCCTTGTGAATGAAATTGGGTAGATGGAACAATCTTATGTACTTTCCAATAAACTATAAATAGAACCCTTTATTAGACTGATTTAAGATCTTTACATCTATTCCTATCCATAACAGAAACATTTTAAGTTGGCAAAAAAGAATTTTTTTTTTATGTAACATTGTTTAAGCATTATATGACATGTTTATAAGCTTAACATATCTTACTAATTTTAACTAACTCCTTGATGAGTGGATAACAAAACTGTGAGTTGGGAAGGTAAGTTTTGAACTTATTCATTTACTGTACATGTGTATGCACAAATAAGTCAGCAAATCATCCCATTCTTGAATATAATTAAACATTTAATATAAATTTAAGGAACTAATTTTGATTAAAATCCAATTGTGGCTTCTGAGATAAAGTATAAATTGTTTCTTCCGTAAGGTAAATAAACAAAAAAAATTGAAAAGAATAATTAAAACTACTAAAAAGAGAAAAAGTATTTCTTGAATTCTCTTTGATAGTGTGGAAAACCCCTAAAATTCAGGTAAAAACTATTTTCATACAACTTAAATCCCAAATATATTAACTAAGTAAAATGGATGTGATTAAAGAGACCATTTTGTCAATGTGAATCTCAAATGTGAAATGAGCCAACTGATCTCTATAAGAATGACATTCCAATTCAAAGACTTCTTGTGAAGTTAGACCCCAATTAAAAATAAAATCATGCATTTTTATACTGAATTTTTTATCGTTAAGTGTTTTTTTTTCTCACTTCACAAATAAATACCCTTCCAACCTTTTAACATCACTCTGAGGATTTGAGACAGATCTTAAAAGAATTTCTCATGAAAATTAATAGGGAAAAACTTAAGAAAATCTTTCTTCCCACTTAGTCAGTCCCTTATATATGTTAATATTCAGTCAAGAAATAACAAAAAGGATTGATTATAATGAACCAATTGCAGAATATAAAGATATGGGAAGGAAAGTTTATGAGCAAAAAGCAAGTAAAGTTTGTCTATATAAGATTTTGATAGTTTTTCATTATTTCCCAGCAGAAAGTATATTTACACATTTTTTTATGTTCTTTTTAGTTAAAATTTTAGACTATCATTTTTCTTGTAAATTATTTCATGCTTAAAGTTTCTCATGCAAAATAGAAGCAAATCCAAATAATTTCATCATGAAATCAAAGTAATAGGAACACTTAGTTTGACAATTTGAATCTGTGATCTAATCTAAAATGTATTACTGCCAGAAATATTATCCACATGACTAATTTCGTATTTTTTACTTTGACTTTGGCTCAAATGTCTTCATTCTAAGTAGAATATTAACTATTTTATTAATACATTTGTTTGAGCAAATGTGTTGCTTTTATTCCTCATTTTTTGGTTTGAAAAAAAATTTCAGTTGATAAACCATTGTCTACTAATTTTGTCATATGAAAGCATTTTAAATTCTTGACATCTACACTGTAAGAAAATTTTATGATAATCAGGTTCCTTTGATTATTTGCATTGATTTTACTTTTAAGTAAAAAATTGGACAAATTTTACATCAGATTTTGTTGCAAGAATATCAGCTGTTTTATCACAGATTTAGATACAAATAGTTTTAAAATCAGTAACAAAAGTCGTAATTTCCCATTTCAACTGCAGATCACAGAATTCAAAATCTTTTATCACTAAGTCCCATGTGTTGTGTTGCATCGATTTATCGTAATGAAAAAAAAAAGCGCAAATTGCACATTTTCTTCTGAAAATTATTTTGATGTCAGTATTCAAGTGAATTGAAAGCAGTTAACTTAAAATGTAAACATTACAACATTATTAGACAATAGCTATATAAGAAACCCTTGATTCAACTATGTAATGAACTCTTTTACAACTTTGTAAAAATGGTTTACAATGTTTAACCTAACCTTTGAATCATGTTTCTCACTGAAAATTCAGATAACTGATCAGAGTTAACTCCCTTGTATAAATTTTCCCTCAACGACCATAAAACAGATCCCTTTTAAGTTAAAATTAGAAATTTCATTAATTAATATTTGTTTTAATATTTTATAAATTAAACAAAATATAAATAAAGTACATGTATCTAAGTATAAAAATTATGAAAAGGAGAAAGAACTTATGAAAATCCAAACAACACAGAAATAAAATGAATAAAAAGAAAATCAAGAACTAAGTAAAATTTAAGAAATCAAATTAGAAAAGATAAAATATTTTGGGGGTTGAATCAACTTTACAGTTAAAGAAAATAAAATTGCAAGCAGATCTTTTACACCTTGAGTCCATTTATTGACATGAAACATTTACTCAACTAATATGAGAGTGGATCAATTTGATCTGAAATTTTCACTGTATAATGTTTGATCTATCTGATTAATATTCATTATTGAATTAAGTGCACTGACAAAGGAGGAGATTATGGTGAAAGGTAAATATTTGTTGTATAACGTAAATATTTTATGTAGTGAGGTCTTTATGTAAAGAGTAAGAAAAGAGTGAATCCAAAATAATCCCTTACAAAAGGTGTAAATAGCAAGGAGTGATAAATGCAGAATCTTATAAATTTCATAATATCAAAACTAGACATCAGTTTGTACATAGATTGATGTGGTTACTATGGAATAGTGTCAAAGAAAAACAAATATTTCTTTTTAGTTACAGCATTTCAAAAACAAAAGTAGAGTTTTGTAGCTTTGGAATGACAAAAAAGGCTTGCGGTTGTTACAATTTGTCCAAAGGTGATCAAAAATTATAAGGGCGGGAGAAAAATTTTGCTGTAGCTCCTCTAACATCTGCAAATGGAAGAAGGTCTTCAGATCTGTATCCATCTGAGTGATGTATACATGAGATAGAATTGTGAGGGATTAGAAAATATTTCTTCTATCATCTTAAAAATTCTAATCCTTATCTGCTAAATGACATTGAACGGAATGTTTATTCTATAAGTCTTGTATATAATTAATAGTTGTCCAACAATTTATAGTGGGTTTATTTACCCCCCCCCCGCCAAAAAAAAACTACTTTCCTTCTGTCAGTGGTCCAATGCACTTTTGTTCTCTTTCAATGCTTTTGTAATTAAAAATCAAAATCTAGCCTTGAATGGATAGTCAAGTTTAAATTTCAGTAATTTTGTTTTCTAAAATAATAATAATTCATTTTCCAAGTCATATCATAATACCAAGGGTCATATTTTTTTAAGTACACCAGCATACCAGTCTAACAATAGTATAAGTACTAAGCTCATCAACACAGCACAATAAAAAATGGTGGTAACCTAGTGTAATTGCAGATATCACCATAAATGCCAAAGTAGAAAACACTAGAAATACAACTCAAATTATAAATTTATATGTTTCTTTTAAATATAAAATATAGAAAATAACAAATAAAATTATTAAATTTTTTTTTAAAAAGACTTCAATTTTCAAATGTCTTTCATATAATCAAATAATAAATAAATTGGTATACATGAACAGATAACCACGATAGTAATGAAAATATTTTCTTTCATTTTCCAGAGTGAATTTTGTCAGAAATATTGCTTATTCTTTTCCATGTATTCCAAGGGCAGTAATAATTCTGTTTTATTTCTTTCAAATTATGACTAAGAAAGATAACCATGTGTGTGTGTGTGTGTGTGTGTGTGTGTGTGTAATATTTTATTTTAGGAAATTGGCTATCAATGCTTCAAGTGGCCAACAGTAAATCCTAGAACTCTGAGTGGTTGGCACACTATAATATAGACTAGAGGTTCATGTGAATACCAGTTTCTGAATACAGAATCATAAACTGAAAATATTTCCATACAATCTTAGCATTAAATAAATATCCAACTTCATTTAGAAAATAATATTCCTAAAGGATATTATTTTGTTTTCCTTAATTACAAAAATTTCATAAGTACTGTTTTTGTTTTAAGGAAAATGTTTTCATAATATAATGTGAAAAGAAGAACAATCACAGTACTACTAAAAAGATGACTAGCCTATACCGAAAAAGTTAATATTGTTTGTCATTCACGTACCAAATAAGATGCCAACTAAAAGTGAACCAATTTATTCAGGGTCTACCAGATAAGTAGAAATAAGTGATAGTGGGAGATTGGCAAACAGCATATAAACAAAAGATATTAAATTTCTGTTTCAGCTTAGCATTTTCACATGTTCAGTTTCTCGCTTTTATGTCTTTGAATTAAAGAAAATAGTGAAGACAATTTAAAAACTAAAACATTTATGGAAATTGAATCAATAAAAAAATAAGAAAAAAATTGAAAAGAAAAAGAATGGATGGAAAATTAAATCAACCATAACCAGTGAGATG